TATATATATATATACATATGATTACATATTAATTTTCCTTTCAGAATCGGAAACGTATTTTTAATCCGCATTCTTAGGCCATGGCTTTACTATGATTTCATTTTCAATCGGACCTCGACTGGGATGAAGCTTCATAAAAGTTTGAAGATAGTTCATAATTTTACTAGAAAGGTATTTGTTAATAATTTTACTGGACAGATGTTTGTTCATTAGTTAATGAACAAACATCAATTAGTTAAGGTTGTGTGTAATTTAGGGAAATGTAGTTGGAGTAATTTTTACAATAATTAGTTTTTTTTTAACTTTAAAATGTTTTTTTTTCTTTCACTACAACCAGCACTATATATTACAGTTTATCGTCTGTTTGGCTTAGCAAATACTGAAAAAAAAATATTATTAAATAATATAAGTATAGCTTAAAAGTATTTACTATATAACTATCTTGGTGAATTCGTTGAAGTTGCATATGATTTAATTTATGCTAAGATTCCAATAATGTGCTGCAACTGATGAATCTGAAAAATCTGCATAAATTCAATTTCATAAATGCCAAAATTGATCGAGTGAAAATGTTTTTATTGTTTTTATTTCATTTTAATTTACTTTTCTTTTTCCCTCTCATCTAATGCAACTTTTCTAGTTTTATTTTGCGCCTTTATTTTCCTTTATTCTTTGACAACCTTGCGATTTATGTTTCAAATCACTTTTGTTTTTATCATTTACGTCTGGCAAGTCTTGAGAATTCACGTCGATTTTTCAGAGCTAGAAACATTTCGTCTTATACTTCCATCTTCATATTTTTTTTTAATCAAATGAAGATTTTAATCAAGTATAAATATTTGCTGCAATTATTTGGGATTAGAAAATGTCTAACAAATGAAAAAATATTAAGTAACGATAGTAAAGTGCCAAAAAGATTAAAACAATAAAAGTCTGGAATCATGCTTATTTTTTTAAATCTATACTCCAGATGGCAGTTCCGGTCTGTTTATAATTATTATTAACTATTTATATTTGAGGAGATTATTAGTTAGATGTAAAATAGATGTCAGCAATCATCAAACATCTATTTTTGCTATTAACTGAAAATATAAAAATTAATACGTATATATTGCACATGCATGTTGCTTTATAATGTAATTTTTTTAAATAAAAATAGGCACTTTTAAGATCGTTTTCTCCAAAATTATACGACCATTACAGTTAACGAAATATTTATTCCGCAAATTACGATCTACAAAAATTTCCTCTTTTTTTAACGACTGTTTTAATTTGCTTCATCGTTTAATGAGATTGCGTAGAGCATTTAATGTTTCGCGCAGTATTGGGATTCTGCTCTTTTCTGTTATTGAATTTTACATTCAGTAAAACTTGGGAACTTTTTCATGCAGATGGACTGTTAAATTTCATATTAAAAATTAATGTATTCAAATGAGCACCGTTTTTTCTTAATTAAGATAAACTCTAATGGCTAGTTATTGCAACATTCTGCAATGGCTAGTTATTGCATTCTAATGGGTAGTTATTGCAACTGCACTCACTATACATTTTTGCTGTTTGTCGCAAATAGTCGACTAAGTAATATTTACTTTACAATTTACTCACTAAATACAATTTTGTTTGTAGATAACATATGTAATTGTTGTATTTATACTGAAACTCTATGAAATCAAATTTCAGTTCTTACTTACTTGGGTGTCTCTTTTTTTCATTAATACCTTTTATAAAACAAATCGAATTGTACCTAGATACCTCTGTAACAAATTAATCTTTCTTTTCTCCTACAGGTGATAAAAGAGAAAAAAGAAGAACTTCTGAGACAAGATGAGTTAGACAAAAAGAACGAGACGAGTTCTCTGTATACCAAGAAACGCACAGCTTTCTTGGAACTGTTGCTGAAGTATCATTTGAAAGATCCATCATTTACTGAAGAAGATATAAGAGAGGAGGTGGACACTTTCATGTTTGCTGTAAGGAAAGGTGAATTATTTGCATGTTGCCAATTGCTGGTAGGATAAAGCAATTATGTTAAAGATTACTTGAGCAAGCAGCTTTCAATTTAATCTGCCCTGGCATGTCTTTCAAAGGGCATAGCTTATTCAGATTGTGTTAGAAAATCTGAGAAATCAGCTGGGCTTTTGTTGGCAAGCACACTTTCCAAAGTAATTAATACGTTAATAGCAACCAAGAATTAATATTTGGTTTGACTTCCTTATTTATTTTAAAGTATCACTCACTTTGCGTATTGTGAACTTGGGCAATGATTTAGCCGACACAGCAGCATGATCTACCTTCCTCAGACATGAAATTACAGTATTATATCCTTATCGCAACAACAGTAGAATTTCCAAATCAATTTCTCGGGTTTAACAGAGTGCAATAATAAATTACACTCTGTTAAACCCGATGTAGACCATTTGCTTGTGTTGTATGTCTATAGTGCAAACTTTAAGCTAATCCGTCTACGAATAGACAACTAGTCAAATTCTCATTTTGTGACGAAGCTAGGTTATCTGTTAATCGAGCTTAAGGCTTTAAATATTTTCTTCACTTTTGGCATGAATATGAGCAAGGTGGTTCTGAAGCATTCAAATAGGTTTTCCTTTTCTCAAGCATTCACGTAAACCTTGTTACGTAATAGAACCAGTTGAACCTCTTTCCTTGCTTCGGAGATCACCTTATTTATGAGGCAAACATATAAATATTCAAACCGAAACAGCTAAGATGCTCCTACCGGTCCATGTTGTGTATTGGCCATACTAGACTAACTCATCTTCATTTGTTATGTGGGAAACCTCCTCCCGAATAGAAATCTTGTATGGCTTTATTTATGATTCATCATATTTTAATCACTTTCACTGTAACAGATTTCGTTTCACTTTTTTTGGTTCTCGTTCAATCTTCGGTTCTTGCTCTTATCCACGGAAGATTTGTTGGGGGAGCCCGATCATAGTACTTTTTTCTCTTTTTTATGTGCTATTATTTTATATTGTATATAAAAAAATTTTATCCATTAATAATTTTATTTTATTTGTAAGTATATTCTTATCTTAACTAATATTAACTATTTCAAAGAATTTTATTGCATTATCACTTTTAGATGATTTTATTTTTATTAGCTTTGATTGTTACAGAACTATTTTATCAATGTTTAATGTATTTAATGTAATGTAATAAGTGTAGAATGCATTTTATCTTTTGATCTGCATGAAAGTTTATTTGGCGCAACGTGATCTCATTTGTTCCTTGTGCCATTAAGCCCTACATTCATTTAAATAAAAATATTTGAATAAAAATGTAGAATGATATTTCTCCCAATGTTTTAGGGTCACGATACAACAGCTATGACTATTTCCTTTGCATTGTGGCTAACCGGATTAGATGAAAATGTGCAACGACTCATTCATGAAGAATTGGACGATATATTTATGGGTGATAATGAGAGGGAAATTACACGGAATGATTTATCACGCATGAAATACTTAGAGTGCGTCATAAAGGTATTGAAACCATTTTAAATTACTGAAAATATATTTTTAACTTGGCATTTCTTACAAGAATAAAGCGCCGCACCTGAAGTTATATATAAAACTCTAATACGTTTTTCCAATTTGAAAACTTCTCTGCAGCCAATTCGAAGCAGGGTTTGGCCAATTTTTTCCCCTTTTGAGCTAAAAATTACTTTTCAATGTATTAACATAGTTCATCAATAGTACAATGGTTTATTTGGCATATCATATCCTTATTTTGAACTTTTGCCATTGGACCTTACTGTCAATAGAGATATCTAAGCTGACGTAATTCATTTACCAGTCGACTAAAAATCCATGAATGGCCAATTACAGATGCAACCAATAGGAATACGTTTTGATTGGGACAAGAGTATGAATCGCCCAATAGGAATCGTGCAAACGGAAATTGATTGAATGATAGTGGAACATTGATCTAGCTTTGCCTCTGACCTGGTCATCTTTATTCAATTTGTTAGTAATGATGGGTTTGCCTTCTTTAGGAAATTACTAGCACTTCGGACTTAAGTTATTCTTGTGATCTTAACCTATTTTTGAGGTTAAACCCTGTTTATAACACAAGTTGATGAGCTCACCTAAAGTTGTGTACGTTTGGCTATATATAGTCGATTTAGCATTTTTTTTTTTTTTTTTTTTTTTTTTTTTTTTTTTTTTTTTTTTTTTTTTNCTACGTTCAACTTCCTGTTCCATTACAATGTTCTAGTAGTTATTTGAACACGTTTCTTTTTATAAATAATATTACAATTAAGTAAGTTTAAGTATGTCTATAAAAGTTCATGTCTGTAAGAAATTATATTTTAATATGATTTCAAAATCTTTTCATTTAATGAGCCAACTCCCTCCTGTTCAAGGTGCACACAATCCTTGACATTGAAACATGTTCCGACTCAGTGAATGAAGCATAAACAACTCTTACAACGGTACGTGGTACTTCAACCATGGATATTTAACTTTACAGCAAATTTTATCCACTGTTGCTGCTTCGTTATGTACCGTTTTTTAAATGTGTTATACCTTACCTCCTCAATATGTTTTTAAAATCTTTCGTGCTTTGAATCCCGTATTCAATTCAACAACTTTACAGTATTTAATTGGACATACTTCAAGCCAAAATATTAGTTTTTTTTTACCTTTTTTAAGCACATAGTTTTATATTCGTGCATTTAATTCTATTTTTAAGTTTTAGTGTTTTGTTTACCAATACTTCACTCCAAAATACAATTTTTATCTTTTTTAAGCACATGTGGCGTAACTACCACTACGAATATTAAACATCAATTCACTGCTATATAAGACATGCTAACTTGATTCAATCACGAGGTACCTTTTGATAGATGAAGGTTGACTTGGTCGATAACTCCACCCCCCACATTGGTGACCCGGACGTGATTTGAACACGTAGTAACGCCCACTTCGTTGGATGGTCCACATTGAGTAGTTGACTTGCTACTTGTGACTGCAACAATATCAATCCTCCTCACGCTGTTGCTACTCAGTCTCGTCTCGATTAAACACAACGGCTGCCTGCATACACTCGACTGCTAATGGCAGCACAGGAACGAATACGATTGTGAAGTTAATACACCTCTCGCATTCAGCACTAAAAAAACCCGGTGACCTTAAAACCAGCTCTCCCGGTCTTTCACAAGTTCAGCGACTAGTGGGATCCGTTCATCGAATTCTATCCCTGATAAAATTCTGGTGGGGGTGTATTGTGGCGTAACTACCACTACGAATATTTAAACATGAGTTCACTGGTATAGAAGACATGCTAACTTGATTCAATCACGAGGTACCTCTTGATAGGTAAAGGATGCCGTGGTCGATAACTCCGCCCCCACACACAGTTATTAATTCATGTATTTAATTCTATTTTTAAATTTTGGCGTTAATTTCACCTATTATGAAGTGCAATATGGCTCTTGAACTAGAAATAAAACTAACTAAGCAAACTTGTGAATATGATTAATAGTCGTTTGCTTTACCCACATGTTTAAAAAATTATCTGAATAGAAACAGAAATAATATCAAACATATTTAATGATTCGAAATTTACAGGAAACTTTAAGATTGTATCCTCCAGCTCCTCTTTTTGGTAGAGAAGCCAATGAAGCCTTCAAGATAGGTAAGTAAAATTGTTCCAGATTTTTCTTGGTGTGTTGCTATTAGATTTGCCAAACCATATATACAGCACACATGGGCGTAGCTTCAAAGGGGACACTTGCCGCTTCTAATAATTTCCCAAAACTTCCTAGTTTTTTTTTAAAGTGGCTCTTAACAAGATGGGGGATATATGAGTAGTAAAAAGAGAAAGTGATACTTATTAAAAGTTACACATTACATAATTAAAGAGCGCCATCCAGTGACTAAAATAATAAACTTTGAATTGGAAAATTAATGATAAAATGTGTATTTTATTTTTCTCCTCGCACACATATTAACTGATTTGTGTGACTCATGGGAGGGAATTTTTCCTGATTGCGTTTTATTTCGAAAAGGAACATTATAGTATTATTTTTAAATAACCAGCTGTCTGCTTTAAAATTGTTATTTTTGTGAAAATATGTACCCATGTTATTTTTTTCTCTTTCCCTTATTATTTTTTAAATTTGCACTTTTATAAACCTTTGAGGAGGATAAATTGTCCGACGCCTCGATTCTTCGTTATCGTATATTGATAGTTGATAAATCAATGTCTTGGGGTTAGCTTCTATATTTTCAAAGTAATTCTTGAAGAAGTACTTTACAAAAATTTAACTCATTTCTTAAGGTTGTTTTGAGGTTTATTTAAAATTGACTTCAAAAACAACTTTAAAAAATTACATCGCAAGATTTATAATCAAGGTCATACACCTTCATTACAACAAAGATAATTTAAAGATATTTAGAAGTTGTTTTATTCACATCATCTAGGTTGTTTTGAAATTAAAAGAAATCTACCTTAAAAGGGTCCAGAATAGAGAGGTTGTTTTAGAGATGTGCATGTTATTTTTTTCTACCATTCAAGCAAATAGGTACATTTGAGATAGGAATATTTTCACCCGACTCTAACTAAAGGTATTGCTGTGCTATATATGAGATTGATTTTATGAGGTGTAATTGAGGTTGAAATCGAAGTTTATTGATGAGGTTATTTTTAGAGCAAAACATAACCTCATTTCCTACCTCAGATGTTTCTTTCCCTCCGGCAACTTCAAAACAGTCAACTTCAACCGCATTTTATCTACAGAACAGAGTAATTATTTTGATTGTTTTAGGTTGAAGGGATTAAAATTTTTTTATAAGGGTTTAACTTTATTTTAATTGTTTCAAAAGACCGAATTCGTTCAATGGTTGACATTAATAATTTAATTTTTAAAGCGATGCAAAAAATTATATATTTTGCAATTCAATTATTTTTGACTTTTACAAATAAATTAATAAAAAAATAATAAATAATTATCAAAAATTATTTTTTATATGGAATTATACTTAGATAAAATAAATAAATAATTCTGTGTAAATTTTTTCGATTCGCTTAAGAACTTCCCGGAATATAGCTAACTACACGAAAAGCGAAACATTAAAAAGTCCGTACTTCCAACTACTCTCTTACCTAAACTGTAGGACCATGTTTTATAAATTCAAGAATCCAAATTTGTCAAAAGAAAAATGCCGTTTTTTCAGAGATAATATGTTTATGTGTCTGATTTTGCAACTTAAAATATCGCCGGTTCTTATTAATTAGCATACTTATAGGAAGATCCTCTTACCATTAAGATTGATTCTTATTACGTAAAAATCCGATCATTAGATCAAAAAGTTATTCAGGGTGTTCTGGTTTTTATTTTTCGCACTGAATTATTTTACTATATATCATTTTATAAATTTCATGTATTTGATAAAGATGAATATGTATTTAACTTTTTGATCTGTATTAATATCTATAGTTTGATCAAGCATTGGTATCAGTGAACAGTTCATTCAAATCGTGCTCGATCGGATATTTATACTGCAGTCATCTGTTAATACATTTAAACTAAATGAATATACTTCAGATTATAAATGGAAAAGAATTTCTAAATATTTTTAAATTCGCATGAATTTTTTGATGATCAATACATTATGATGGATACAAATGCTTGAAAGAACTATGATAAAAGTTAATAAACAAACCATATTGCTTTCACCATTTATAGTTTTAAAAAAAAAGAAATAATGACTAACCTTAATACGATTTCAGGTGAATACACAATTGAGAAAGGAACGTTTTGCTTAGTAATACCCATGGAACTCCATCGAGATACCAAATCGTTTCCTAATCCTGAAAAATTTGATCCAGAAAGATTTTTCCCGGAGAATGTTGTTAACAGACACCCTTATGCGTTTGTTCCATTTTCGGCTGGACCAAGAAATTGCATAGGTAAACTTATACTAAGGTTACTACTGTTAGATTTTTAAAAAATGAAAACGAATTTCATTGGCAATCATCCAACTATTACGTAGTAACTACAACTGATTATTTATTCTATAATTTTTCTAATGAACGACGAGAGCCCATTTTTAAATTTACGAGAATATCTAACTTGGAACTTTAAAATTATGAAATTTGATTGATTATTATAATCGTCAAAATAATCGTAATCGTAATTCATAATAATAATCATATCGTCTAAATTGGAATGTTAATGCTCTTTCATCCAGGACAGGGCAGCTAAGTGAACATGTTACACATGGTGTAATAAAATGTAACCGAAGAGTGAGGGGGTTTAAACCCCCAGTTCTTACAAAATAACAACGTGCTTTAAAAATTAGAAGCAAAACCTTACAAATTAAAACGCATATAAGTAACTAATTAACCATTTTGTTTTAATGCGCAAAAACTATAAGACTTTTTTGAAATTACTAACATGTGTTGAAAAATGCGCAGGGAGAATAAGGGAATAAAATAATTTAAATTCAATAATTTGTTTGGGAATTACTAACAGTTAAACTTTCTTTAAAAAATACCATGCGGGCCGCCCTACAAACAGCAGGAATTCAACTACAGAGTTGAATTTTAGTATGCTGAGGGGGACTTATTTGTTTGCGAACTTAACACAAATTTAGTTTTTGAAATTCCAATTTGTTTAAAAGTTATTGAAATTTTAAGCACAATTTTTTCGCACTTTGCTTTTCAATTTGCTTTAATGATCAGAATCTGTAAGATTTAGAAAATTTCAATTGACAAGTTGTGAAAAAAAATGTACGAGGTGTTCGATGAAATAAAAAAAAATGACGATTCGATTGTTAGTTCGAGGATTATTAACTGTTAAAACTGTAAAAAAAGAAAAAAGCATATTGGCCGATCTACTACCCGCCGAAATGCAACTGCAGAGTTAAAATTTGACGTGCTGATAGGATCATTTTGAATTGAATGCTATATTGCAATTTGTTTCCCTCTTAATAACAGTTATTAGTCCATTGTTGTCGAAACTTTATCTCTCTCCTGATTTTTATTTTTTAATTCGATTTGATGTCAAAAGTAACAGCAACAAAAATTTATAAATAAAAAAATAAGACTGAGGTGAGATGTTGATAGATATAAATCTTTACATTTATATCGAAATTTTCAAAAAACATGAAGACTGAAGAAGGAAAACTGTGTCCAACGCGAACTGTGGTATGATATAAAGTTATTTAGAAACTTTTAACGAGAACAATTACTTCTCCTTTATTACTTCTTATTGTATCACACAATCTGTATTCTTAAGTTTAAACTTTTGTTTTCAAGTACAGTTGACTATTTTTCAAATCCAGGTATCTTTTCGTTTCGTAACGATTAAGAACATTCGTAACGATTAAGAGCGTTAGAAACGTTTCGTTTCGTAATGATGAAGAGAAATGAAAACTGTTTCCAACGCGAACTGTTGTATGATGTAAAGTTATTTAGAAACTGTTAGCAAGAAGAAAAAAAAATTGCTTCTCCTTTATTGCTTCTTTTTGTGTCACACATTCTGTACTCCTAAGTTTAAATTTTTGTTTTCTAGTACAGTTGATTATTGTTCTAATCAAAGTATCCTTTCGTTTCGTAACGATTAAGAGCTTTCGTAAAGTTTCATTTCGTAACGATTAAGAGCGTTAGTAACGTTTCGTTTCGTAACGATGAAGAGAGATGAAAACTGTTTCCAACGCGAACTGTTGTATGATGTAAAGTTATTTAGAAACTGTTCACGGGAAAAATTACTTCTCCTTTGTTACTTCTTATTCTGTCTCACTTTCTGTATTCCTAAGTTTAAACTTTTGTTTTCAAGTACAGTTGATTATTTTTCAAATCCTGTTATCCTTGCGTTTCGTAACCATTAACATATTAGCAAAAAGTGCTTCCAAAAAATTATATAAATTTTTTATTTTATAAACAAAATTATCATTTTTAATCGACTTTTAAGAAACAAAATCAATGACGTTTGCGAAACCAATCCGAGGGTTGGTAAGCGGAGCGTACAGGGCCTCGTACAGGGCCTCCTTTGTACAGTGCGCAAAGCAAAAAACGAACCACTATGAATAACTTTTGATCTTATGATCGGATCTTCACGTTCTAGGACTCAATCTTTAAGGTTCGAGTGGGTGACCTCAGATATGGTATTTAATAAGTGCAAACGATATTTTAAGCTACGAAATCAATCAAAAAACGCAATATCTCTGAAGTAACAAACCTTTTTATATTTTAAGCTACGAAATCAATCAAAAAACGCAATCTACAAAAACGCAATATCTCTGAAGTAACAAACCTTTTTTTCGACGGATTCGGATCTCTGACTCTAAGATTGAGTCATAGACTGTGAAGATACGGTCATTAGATCAAAAGTTATTTTAAGTGGTCTGTTTTTTTTTTTTTTTGTGCGCTGTTCATTATAAATTTCGAAAATTTACATAAAATATTGCGTAGAACATACGAACATGAGCGTGCAAATTGTCATGGGAAAGTGAATATCTCATATTAATGACTCGCACTACTGAATGACTGTCTAAAAACCAAGCAATCTTTCTTTCCTGTAAATAAACCTATAATAATAACTAAGCAGAATACATTTGTTCCAAATATATTTTTGGATGCTTTATTTACGGATATTGTTCTTTTTTTTAGGTCAAAGATATGCCATAATGGAATCAAAGACAGTGCTGGCAAACATTTTTCGGAATTTCACCGTCATCTCTAAAGATGCTAGAGATAAAGTCAGAGTGTTGCCTAATATCGTCATTAGTAACATAGATCCTTTGAGATTGTATTTCTCACCGCGCAACCAAAGGTGATTTCGAAATAAAAATGTAAATAAAGTAAATTACTGTTTTCATTTCAATTTTCAAAACGCTTATCTGTCATGAATTTTTTCTAAATAAACTTTTACAGTGATTGATATAAATGTAAAGGTTTCCAGTAATTTCACGGGCTTTGAAAAATTTTAATATTGGTAGTAAATTGTCCTCCGGGAAGGCAAGTTTCTCCCAATACTTGATCCATGCCATAAGGTGATAAATAACATTGATTTATTCTAAAAAAAAAGACTAAAACTTCACCACTTTAAAAATGCTAAAAGTGTCAATAAATTAGCGAAAGTAAAAATATTTTAGTTCGCTCGAAAACTATTTTTGCTTTAGCTAATTCATTATAAAGTTTTTAAGTTGTGAATTTCTAGTTTTATTTGAATTATTAATAAAAGATTTGATCTTAATCCAAATGCCAGTTACCGCGTTCTTTATAACTTCCATGAGTAACGTCACAAATTTACTGAGAGGCTTTGACTTTCGGTGGCTATGCTTCACTGCCAATTAGGTTGTATGACACGGAAATGGGGCTAAGGTCAATGAACAACTAGTAAAATTTTCCTTTCATAACGTAGCTAAGTTAACTGTTAACCAAGGTGAGTAAATAGCAGTAAATGGTGCACGTTAAATCTGTCTGATCACAAAGTCCTCCTTTTTCCCATAACAAATTATACCTCTGGGGGTACTGGATTGGAGATTGGTCGTTTCCTGGTTCAGTTCAAAATTACGATCTGTGGGTGAATGAATGGGTCCACCCTATAATTGGGTATGACGTATGGCTGTGGCAGAAGTCAAATTCTTAGCCATAGATGGCGTCACTGGAAAACAAGAGCAATTGCACTCCTAGTGTCTTAATGGTCTACAAGAACAACAATATTTGGTTCTTTGAACTGGTGGTAACAGAGTGCTTCCCCATAGAATCAAATCTATGTAATCACTTCAAATTTCAGCTGTGATCATTTCAAATTTTAGGTGTTCGGATAATAAATCTCGAATTAAGTGCTTTAAATCTTATGTCTCATCACTTAAAGATAGATTACCTTGAATGAATCATCACATCTTATAGGCTCATGCGAATCAATCTGGAATTCATGCTTTAAATCTTATCACTTAAAAGTAAAAGATTAAACTCATATATATTTTAAACTTGAAAATTTTAAATGCCTCCTGGGTTTAATATTTTGATCCGGTTCGTTTGTCATTAGTACAGATAGGTCATTTCAATTAAACAATGATCTTTCCTAAGAGGTTAAAATAAAATGGAGGTCATTTTCTATACCTAAAAATTTTGATGGTAGTTATGACCATTCTATGAATTCTCAAAGGGCAAAAACACTCACAGGATATGATCTTTTATATACTAAAAGAGATAAACATCCTTTACTGCATTAGCATAAATTATAACGAATTGACCTGTAAATATTTTATTTATCCCTCATTTGAAGATATTTACCAGTTATAGTCATTTATAATGACTTCTTAAAATTATACTCTGACATTATTACGTTTTTGATATTGATTATTATTTAAAGCTTAAAAGTAAACGTGTTGTTCATTTATCATTTTTATAGGTATATTCAAATAGTAGTACTTTATGATGCAACATTTTAAACATATTTAGTTGTCGTTTTACAATTAAAATGTAAATAAGTTATATTTCTGTTTTAATATTTACTATGATAGCAATTTTTATACAACATTCAGGCAATGTATAAAACACAAGTAATAAATATAAAATAGCTAACTGTTTAACATTTCACAAGCAATAACGCAAATTAAATTTTCACATTATTGTTAAGGGATCCTTTTGGCAAAAAAAATCTAGCAACAATTTAACAATTAAAGCAACAATTAAATAACATATACACAAGCAGCAATTAAATAATTACTACAAGCAACAATTAATAATTACTGGACAGCAATTAAATAATATGTATAAAAAAAATGTGGATGAAAACAGCAATTTCAACAAAATTATTAGGTTTAAATTGTATCCTTAAAATCGGAAACAAAACTTATGATAATACAATAAAAAATCAGATCCTTTAATGAAATATTCTTTAATTTTTTATGTAACAGTTTGTTTAACCCTTTCAAGACTGGCAGAATGAGAAAGAAGTGCATCTACAGGATTGCATACTCCGAGTTTATACGTACTAATACAGGATCTAATACGAGAGTACTAATACGAGAGTACCGGATTAAGATCAAGACTATGTAATCTTAAGTCGCTAAGAGTCAGATAGGCTTATTTTATATATGATACAGTGGACAGTGAGGGGAGAATCGTGTGTTCACATGTGATCCCGGGGTTTAAAGAAATAAAAATTCTTGCAAACCGATCTTGGAGATAGATGAGTGCGAGTGTAACAAGATGTGGACAGAAACACCTCGTAATAAAAAATAAATAAAAAACCTAAATTTTAAATGTTATGTTGATCTACTGTAATATAACAAGATCTCACAACTCGTATGGTCCAACCACTCATTTTGAAAATTTAGGGTTAGCGACGAACATTCCAAAAACTGAAACGAGCCCTAAGATTTGTCAATTATAGTCAGGAAGGAGAAAACACATCTGTTCAAAAACTTAAGTCTTTAGAAAAGTGAAACTTTGGCTTAATCTTAAGAAGCGGGTTGAAATCAATTTGAAATATTCACATTCAAAAAATAGGTTGCGTGCATAAAATTCTGCATTTTAGATAGGTCAATCGTCAAAGATAAAAAGGAGAAATGCGAACATAACTTTAATAATATTTTTACAACTAAATTAAAATCATCTAGGATTATAATCAAACACGTAGAACAAAAGAATCGATGTAAAGCAAAGTGCAAAAAAGAGAGAGAAAAATTTTTTTCGATGGTATATATACATTTCATTCAATCGAAATTCAGTTCAGTTCGTTATACAGGGTGTTTATAAAGTCCCGGACCCATTTTGATGTTTAATAACTCATAAACTTTCAATTCGATAGTCAATTATCGATAGTCGATTTCACGCCACTACCTGGCGTGAAATTGACTATCGACTTGATATTCTCCGTGCGAAGGAGGCACACGTGGAAGTTCATTGACAAGGGTCATGAAACTTTTTGAGTCTATCTAACCATTTATGTTATTAATTTTAATCTATCTTTATTATTTTATGAGTTATTAAACATCAAAATGGGTCCGGGACTTTATAAACACCCTGTACTTCAGGAAGACGATTACGGAGAATACATTGAATATACATAGAAGTTTACAGGTTTGCCAGATCACTAACTTTGGTACTTGAACCTATTATGTTGATTACACCACACATGAATTCAATGACACCAATAAATAAAATAATTCATAAAAAAAAAATTTTAAAAACGATATCATGGTGCAAAATTTTTGAATTAGTTTTTAAACAGTCTCTTAGAATATTAAAAAATTTTGCCAACGTCTATTTTATTCAAAACTAGACACTTGTAGAGTAAATGACTCAGTTCAAGAGCATAAACTGACTTTAGAAAGTGTTAGAACCTAAGCGTAACAAAAAAGGCCTAATTTATTACCTATCTAAACACGTATTAAAATAAAGAAATTTTGTGTGATACCCGATTTTCGATTTTGTAATTATATTTTTTATTCAGTGTCATTTAAAAAAAATGAAATTTTCTCATTGGTTTATCGGAATCCATTGCTTTAAAGTAAACTATAAANGATCACCGAAGTCAAGCATCACTGGCTACGGTCAGTGTGTGGGTGGATGACCATTTAGATCAGCCTGCGTAGGGACCGAGGGTGTGCTGTATTGGTCCTCGTTATACTGTTCTACCGTAAAGTGCTCGACTTCGCGTGCAGGTAGTCGGGCTACAGAAGCGAGGGTGCCATCCCCTCTGCAGAGGATCAAAATTCTGATGGCATGTCTTCGGATCATCTTCAGGGATGTTTCCCAATAGCCCATTGTGCAGCTCTAGTGCGACGTAAATGAACAACAGCAACAACAATCAAATTTTAGCTGTGATCACTTAAAATTTTAGGTGTTCGGATAATAAATCTCGAATTAAGTGCTTTAAATCTTATCTCATCACTTAAAGATAGATTACCTTGAATGAATCGTCACATCTTATGGGCTCATGCGAATCAATGTCGAATTCATGCTTTAAATCTTATGTTTCATCACTTAAAAGTAAAAGATTAAACTCGTATATATTTTAAACTTGAAAATTTTAACTACCTCTTGGGTTTAATATTTTGATCAGGTTTATTTGTCATTAGTACAGTTATGTCATTTCAATTAAACAATGATCTTTCCTAAGAGGTGAAAATAAAATGGAGGTCATTTTCTATACCTAAACATTTTGATGGTAGTTATTGACCATTCTATGCATTCTCAAAGAACAAAAAAACTCACACGTTACGATCTTTCTTATACCAAAAGAGATAAACATCCTTTACAGTTATTTGCATGAATTAAACGGATTGACCTGCAAATAATTCATTTATCCCTTATTTGAAGATATTTACCAGTAATAGTCATTTATAATGCCTTCTTAAAATTATACTCAGTCATTATTACGTTTTTGATATTGATTATTATTTAAAACTTAAAAGTAAAAGTGTTGTTCATTTATCATTTTTATAGGTATAATCAATTAGTAGTACTTTATGATGCAACATTTAAAAGATATTTAGTAGTCGTTTTAAAACTAAAATATAAATAAGTTATATTTCCGTCTTAATATTAACTATAATATAAATTTTTATACAATATCAAGGCAATGTATGACACTCAAGTAATATATAAATATAAAATAGCTAACTGTTTAACATTCTGTAGCAATAATGCAAATTAAATTTTCACATTATTGTTAAAGGATCCTTTTGGTAAAAAAAAATAAATAAAAAAATCTATAGTAACTTTTTAAACTATGCAACAATTAAATAATACTTCATTTCAACATCAGCAAAATTATTAGGTATAAAATTTAGCCTTATAAAATCGGAAACAAAACTTGAGATAATACAATAAAAAAAAAAATCAGATCCTTTAATGAAATAATCTCTAATTTTTTATGTAACAGTTTGTTTAACTCTTTCAAGACTGGCAGAATGAGTAAAAAGTTCATCAGCAGGAACTCATACTCCGAGTTTATACGTACTAATATGGGATGTTATCCAAGAGTACCAAAGATCACGACCATATGATCTTTGGCCGCTAAGAGTCAGCAAGGCTTATTTTATATATGATACCGTGGACCGGAATGGAAGAATTGTGTGATCACGGTACTGAAGGAGTTAAAGAAAAAATTATTGCAAACGGATATAGATGAGTGTGACTAGCTGTGGACGGAAACACCTCGTAATAAAAAAAAAAAATTGAAATTTTAAATGTAATGTTGATCTACTGTAATATATAACGAGATCTCGTAAACTAGACTGAAAGCGTTATGAATAAGTATAATCCCGTCACTCATTTTGAAAATTTAGTGTTAGCGACAAACATTCCAAAAACTAAAAAAAAGCCCTAAGATTTCTCAATTATAGTCTGGAAGGAGAAATCACATCGGTTTAAAAACGTAAGTATCATCTTTAGAAAAGTGAAACTTGGCGGGATTTTAAGAAGAGGATTGAAATCGATTTAAAATATTCAATTTCAAAAAGATATATTCTAATTAGCAAATTTGATTTGTCATTTAAAATGCTTTACAAAAATTTAAAGTCAAACATGAATTCTATGACACCAATTAACAGGATGAATTCATAAAAACTAAACGATATCATGGTGCAAAATTTTTTAGTTTTTAAACTGTCTCTTAGAATATTACAAAATTTTGCCGAGGTTTCTTTTATTTAAAACTGGACATTTGTAGAGTAAATGACTCAGTCTAAAAGCATAAACTGACTTGAGAAAGTGTTAGAACCTAGGCGTACAAAAAATGCCGAATTTATTACCTATCTAAACGCGTATTAAAATAAAGAAATTTTGTATGAAACCCGATTTTGTAATTATAATTTTTATACAGAGACATTAAAAAAACGAATTTTTCTCATTGGTTTATCGGAATCCATTGTCTTAAAGTAAACTATAAACGATTTAGTTTTGTTAAATATTTTAAAGATAATTTTAATGATGTTTTCTTTCTTTCAGCTTGAATCAAATAATTTGTTTATTGCAGGTTCTCTCTCTGTAATACTTAATTATTTTTTATTCTTTATGCCAGGTTATCTGAATGATCAACGTTATTGTTGTAGCATAGATGGACTACGTGACCAAATTAGTATTCCTAAGGTTAACTGAAACCAGGTGTTTATTTTGTTCATAGTTATGCTTTTAAAATGTAATACTATAAAAATAAATAATTTACATTAAAAAAAATTTAAAAATAAATAATTTAAATTAAAAAAATTTAAAAATAAATAATTTAAATTAAAAAAAATAAGTTTGCACTAAAAATCAAAATTAAAGGTACTAATTTGTTGAGGATAAATGTAAACATCATCGAGGATATAAGTACTGGAGAAGGTAGCTTGATTGTGGTAAATTTTAAATAACTTGAGTTGCCTAGAGCAATAGCATTATGCCAGATGTAGTTAATTCTTATTTTGAAAAAAGGAATGACTGAGTACGTGTTTTACTCAAGCTAATAATGCAAAGCCACCGAGAATGGTAACAAATAATAATAAATTAAAAAAAATATTGGGAGTATTTTAACTTTATTATCTGTGTTGGTATTTGTCGTACAGTTAAGTGCCTGATTTTGTAGTGTTGTTCTGTACTGATTTCTTGATTAGTTTTTTTCCCTGTACAAAGAATGGGTATTTAGCTAGTTACACAGTAATATGACAGAAGAAGACTACAATTCAAGAGCGTCTACTTCTTGTTTTTCAAGATGGCGTACAGACTATTTTGCTCCTTTTACTGTTATGTTGGGGGGGGGGGATTTTATATGCATATTAAAAACATGCTTATTTATGTAATTATCTCATCTTACAAAATATTTCATGTTAACTTTTGTTTTATATACAAGTATTGGTAAAGCAAATTTTTGTAAGTACAGGTTTAAAAATGATTTAGAATGGCATTACTCTTTTTAAATGAAAGAGCTAGCTACTTTAGCATATATCAAAACAGTTAGCCAATATCGTCTTACCTTTCTCGGTAAGTATGCTGGATTACATTCATAATCCTAATATATTTATGCAAGTGTTATTTTTAACTGCATATAAATGCTTCCTTGTATTTATTATTTTATTTACTTTTTTAAAAAATTTCACCATCTTCGTACTGTTGCATTTATTTTGTGTTTTTTATATAGCATTCACATATTTTAGTTAATTTTATTCACTTGTACCATTTTATCAATTTAATTTTATGGCAAATAAATTTTAATATGTACTTTAGCTTTTAATCTGTTTTGACATATTATCTGGTGCAGCATGTCTTTTTTTGGACTTGCCACTAGACCCTATGTTTAATTGAATTATATCAAAACAGCAAGCAACATAAAATGTGCATGTAAAAAAAATTTCAGCTTATACCTCCTGTAGTGCTTTACAAAGGAATAATTCTAAATGACAGACCAAACATAGCGCAGATCATACTAGTTTACAATTGCAAAACTAGTACTTTTTTGTACCTTTAAGAAAATTGAGTTATAAGACTTTTTATGATTCCTATGTTCTGAGAGACAGAATGCAGTAAAAAGTTTACAGATATGAATTTATTGAGCTATGTGTGAATGTTTTTTAATGATAATGTAATTCATTTTATAAAATTTCTCCTGTGCTTAATTATATTTATTTTTAGATAAATAGATTTCTTTTATACATTTAAGCATGTATATCAGTGTGTACATTTGAGAAGCAAAATTTATAAAAATAAATAATTAGATATACATTAACTAACATGTCGATAAACATAAAGTTTGATGACTAGATTGTTTTCTAAATTCTTAAATTATCTGTGCTTGTTATCACTGAAGAACAGTGCTATTTCTCTCTTAATCTTCATCTGTGGTATTTTCATAGCTGAAATAAATAATTTTGGTGTCAATCAGCAGTATTATACAAGGTATTTCATTATACTAGATAATACTGATGATGAATATACTTTATTATACTCATCATAAATGAACTAAAAAATAGACACATTAGGGGTAGCAAATTAAAGTTTAAGTTAGGGAAAAACAAGCATGCCATCGAAATCTAACAAAACACAATTAATAAAAATGAATTGTTTTACTGCTGGTGGAAGGAAGATAAAGCAGATGAAAGGTGCTAATTAGAAACACTCTAAAGTTTAATCAGGGAACCAAACTGGCTTTATTGTTTTCATCCCAACTTTTTCACTATTTATTTAGATAGTGTTTAAAAATATAAATTATTGGAACACTTTGTTTAATTTTTTTATGTTACTTCATGTTAGCTTTTCATAAAATTAAAAAAGATGTTAGCAAACAATATCCCCTTTCTATTATCATCATAATTAGGGTAGTTATAAAAACAAATAAAATTTTTAATGGTTATGCATGTACAATATTGCATGAAACGGTACAAAACACAAATGATTTATTGCAATAAGTTGGTGAAGAATAAGACAAAGTATTATTTTAAAGACCTTAATTGATTAAAGTTATATATATTTATATATATATTTACCTTGTTATCAATAACATATAGAATTCACAAAATAATGAAAAAATCTGTATATAATGAATTTGATGGCACATAGCAAATAAAAATAACACATTATTTAAAAGCGCCATTTTGAACTTAATCCATTAGTTAAATGGCACACAAATTATTTATAAACCTAATGCTTTGCACAGCATATCCTTTTCTCTTTGACTTTGTGTCATTTAATCCTAGATTCAATCAATCAATCAATCACAAGTTATAATTATCAAAAAGTCAATAAAAGTTATTACTAATGATAAAATAATTATAAAAATTATTGATTACAATAAATTCTATACTTATTAAGTTTCTGTCGCAAAGTTTTTATCTGTTCATTTTTAGTAGCTAGCATTTTTTTCATATTCTTGAATGCTCCAGTTTGGCTCAGTTTCACTTCCAGTTCCTGCAAAAAATATAAAGCAACATAATTTATTTTTATAATGATTAAATATCAAATATAAAATCAGGATAAAATTGAACCTCCTTCTGGAACCAAATATAGGTTTCACAGACTTTTTCCCAAGTACCACAAGGAAATAAAAACACTAACATATATTTTTTCAACATTCATAAGATGCAAAAAGTTATGTTAAAATACATTATTTAGCTTTATAAAAATTTAAAAAAAACAGTTAATTAATATTAATTGATATGTAAATAATTAACTGTTGGTGTTGTATGCTTATAATCATATTTTGCTCTGCACACTTTCTTCATAGCAAACTAATTTTTGCTGTATTTTTATGAAAGTATTTATGTATTTCATGCCCCGACTTATTGCTTCTCTCATCAGCCCCCCAATAGTATCAATTATTTTCATTTATCAACAATAAAGATTTATCACATTAAAATTAAAAAGTTTTCAATAAAAAAATCCAAAAATGTTTTATTGAATTAGCACAGATTTTTTTCACAGATTAAGTTTCAGATTCTATTGAAGTGCAATTTAAACATAGTTACTTTGCTTGCTCGCCATCGCCCCTTCATCTAAAAAATTGTTCTATAAATCTGTATTAAATTTTTAGTTGCCATAAATAATGATTAAGAGCCGAACGAGATTATTTAGCAAAAGGTCAAAATTATCCCTAATATTGCTTTTCAGTTTTGAATAGTTATTTCTAACTCATTGCATATGTTGATGGTACACAGTCTTACATAACATTAATTATAAAGCTGTAACTAAATACATTTTTCATAAAATTAATATGGTAATGTCAAAGGATTATTTTATATCAAAGAAAAACTAAGTTTTTAGCCTGGAATTTTGAATAAAGTTAAAATCAAAAATTTAATAATAGCAGAGAATAATATTAATAAGGAATAGCAAATAAATATTACAGGTAAATGCCATTAAAGGAGACTAAGCATGTAAAGGAAAGTTGGCAATTGTCTTCTTATGATACATAGAAACATTATGAGTACAGGAGAAATATTTGCATGTATTTATGGGAGTGCTAGATGGTTTATTAAAAAAAAAAAATTTTACATCCATAAAATAGTGAATTTATACTTCATTAAAATTATTAACATAAGTAACTTGAATAATTTAATTAGTTATTAAAATTAGACTAGGGATACACTAAAGGTAAAAATAAGAAAAATATAAACAAATTTAATTTTTAAATCTTTTTTTTAAAATCTAATAATTAATTTTACACACATTTTAGAAAAAAAAAATCACTTTAATCCCAATCATGAATGTAAAGTCGAGATAAATTTAGACATTATTACCTTTTCAGCTAGTTGAAGTTGTGATTGCACTTCTAAAAATCTTTGTTTTGTTTCCAGTAAATCACATTCAAGATTTTGTTGTGTATAGGCACTTGCACACATTGTCTAAAATGCAGAGAAAAAATATAATATTTTTCATCAATAAGTATTATACTTTTGCCGTTAAGTATTTTTTATAGCACTTTTTTAAACTAATGATCTAGACTAGAATGTTACTAATCTGAAAATCCCAGAAAACAAACCTTATAAATTAACAAAAAGATTTAAAATGAAATTTTTAAAAACTTGTTTTTATTAACATTTTTTTAAAAAAAGAATTAAATAATAAGTTTTTTTTCATAAATTAAATAAAAAATGAGGTAAAAAAAATAAATGTGCAATTTATAATTAAAATAAAATATAAATAATTTCTTGATACAGATAATTAAGAATTCATTAGTTTCTAGTTACTATCTTCAAGAACTTTAGAAATATTATACTATCAAATGTTTTTGATGTTTTAAAAATTAAAAGATTATTTAAAAAGATTGTTCAAAAGTAAATTCCAATATCTTGAAAAACTCTGTGTAGTATAATACTTGTTATTGAAGGATATTTAGAATAACAATATTAATGAAAAAAAAAATTAATTCACATGCATATTTCTCTTAAAATGTAAAATATGATTCAAAATTACAAAATTCATAATAATTTTTTTTTCACGACATGACAAAAAAAAAAACATAAATAATGTTCCATAAAGGCAAAAAAGTTTTTTTTTTAAAAAATGCATTTATTATCACCTTCTAGTCTAACTAATGTTTAATTTTAAAAATAAAGCAATAATAATCTGTATTAGCTAAGATATTCATTTCAAATTTAAAACATAAGAAAATAAGGAACTAGAATCGAACCATACTTTACATTTCAAATTCAAACAAAATGCTTGATAAAGAGTTTTGGAAATTTACTAAGCATAAAAAAAAATAAAAAAATTCTAATTTTGAATAATGCAGCATCAAACAATTTAAAATAAAGTTAAGAAAATGCAAATAATTTCAGATTACATTAAGATACATTAAGAATGCCAACACCAGATTGGAATAGAATTATCTTAATTTGGCTTCTAATTAGTAGCAATTGTTTAATTATTAGAAATAATTAAGAAACATTTGTATCTATTTCGGATTGGTAAAATCATAATACATTGTTACTTTTTTCAAACTAAAACTGGTGCCGAAGATGAAAAACAATTTTAAAATTTTTCTTATCATCAAATATATATGATTTTGGTGTTACATTTCGCTAATATATTATATGAGAAAAAGTAATTAATGCTCAACTGTTTCTAGTTCCTTTTTCACTTGATTCATTTCATCTTCCAAGTGTTTTAAATCTTTCTCAACATTTTCTGCCTGCAATAGAGTAACAAGATATACATAAGAAAATATGGAAATAGCAAATCTTTTATATAAATAGGTATATATGAAAGCTGATTAAAAATATTCAAATGCAAGTTAAAAATATATAAATAGTAAATTATAAAAGCAATAGAAATTTTTTGTTCATTTACTACTGTATTTACATAACATATTCATTAATAATTAGTCTCATTTCATGTTAACTAACGATAAAATTATTTAAGTAAGAAAAAAAAAACACAATATGATTTGATGCATATTTATGAATTTAGAAAGAAAAAAAAATTTTTTTCTTTAATAAGTAATACTTTAAGAAATTGATTAATCATGCAAACTTTGAAACAATCAGGAGTAGTTTTTATTTCTTAATTTGTTTTCACCCTTTTTTGTTTCTTATACGTAGAACGTATAATTAAGGTAATTGAAAATTTCAGCTCTTTGTGAAGGTTGCCGCCCTTTTGTAATGTGCTTGGCTAATCGAAAAACTCTCTAGTATTTTCTAACTATTCTGATGGTTTTCAGTCTTTTTACACAGCTCACATGCATTTAGACTAATGAAAAATTGAACCAAGAATCACTCAGGTTAAGTTTACTTAGGTTTATTGCAATGAGCTTTGCAATGCCAGCTTTTTGAGTAAAGAAGTATAGTGAACCTGATAGATTGAGTAATGAACAAAATATTCTTTAATTAGCCAATAATTGCTTGCATAGGCTCATTGCAAACAGCTTGAAAGAAATAATACTTATTAAGCAATAAATAATATATATTATAATTCGCCTAACAGTATTTGGTGATTGCTAAAACTAAACTACCAAACACAGTAGCGCGACAGACCATAGAGGGCCAAGGTCTACTGTGCCCATCTCAGTTTCTTGAGCTTGGGCTATGGGGTGCAGGAGCAGATGTTCCGGTTAGGTGGTCAGCAGAATGCAAAATCCCCAGCGCTTAGTTTCCAAGCATGCTTGGTACTCATTTATCGACCCACTGAAGGGATGAAAGACTGAATCAATCTTACCCAGTTCGAGGATCGAACCCTGGACCTATGGCACAGAAACGCGAAGCACTACCACTCAGCCACTGGACGTCATTTGGTGATTACACTAAGCATAAAAAGTGTTAGGTTGATTAAAAATACTTTGTTTTCCAACTAGCAAAATGACAATAGTTGCATAAAGGCGGGTTATCCAATTATCTTACAACAAACATACAGTATATTATATTTCAAATTAATCAAAAGTGTTCAATGCCTAACATTTATAGATTTTTGAACTTCATGCTTCAATAATATATACTTTAAGAATATTTAATTAACACCTTTCCTTCTTTCATTTCCTTTAGTTCTTGTTGTACTTCTACAAGATTTGCAGTCAAAGCAGCTTTACTCTCTAATATATCAACAGTCTGTAAAAGAAAATTAATACATTTTTAGATAACAATTCCACACAAATTAACAATAATTAAGGTTATGATAGAATAAAAATTTAATTTTTCACTTTAGGAAAAGATAGTAGTGTATGATTAGTTTTGGTAATGTATAAACATAAAATCTGATTTCATATTTTCTAAGTAAAGTTTTGTATAACCCACAATTATTGTAGTAAGAACAGCTGTAGTTCATTATAAATCTTATAACAAAGTAGTCATGAGTAATTTTACTGAAAACTTATTTTTAATCTTAAAATCGCAAAATAAATTGAATTTTAGATTTGAATTGAGTGAGAGATGTATGTTTTATCTCAATAATTACCTGCTTTTCTACACTCTTCAGTTTCTCAGACAGCCTTCTGTTTTCTTCATTGAGTCGATCAATTTCCTGATTTATTTTCAGCACAAAAGATTCATCAAATATACATAAAAAATGTAAATTTAATTGTATTAATTTAAATATAGTGATATAATATAGCAAAATAATATATATTGTATGAAAAATATAATAGTCTCTTTCATATTGATCTAAAGACCATAAAAATTAGAGATATTAAATTACTGTTTGCTAAAACACAATGATAAAAAACAGCTTTTAAATGATATTTTTATAAAAAAAAATTTTGAAATAGCAATCCTTTTTAATTAATTATTTTTGCTATTAACAAATAATATCAATAAAAGCTGAATTACTCTATAAACCAATGTTGTTTAATCTTCGTGTTCATTTTTATATTCTCTAAAGGAAATATTGGTGCATGGTCACAGTAAATTTTTTTAATTTTTAGATTCTAAATTTACTCAATTCTGAACATGAAACCAAAAATATATTAAATTCTTTTACTTTGAAAAGAATCAGGCAGTTTAAATTCAAAGTTCATATTTTGAATTAAATTATAAAAATGTAAATCTTATATTTATAATAAATTAAAATAAAGAAATTGAGAGAATGTATGAATTTCAGTTAGTAAAACAGCTTGAAAAATAGGTAGTCGACATTAAAAAAATTATGAAACCACACCAAATTAAGTAGCAATAAATTAATAAGCAACTATAATATTATATTTAAATTAACGAATTATAAGAAGGAATTGGTGCTTATTATTGAAAAAAATCTAAATTCTAGAATACATTTTCTCTCTGTATTCCAATTCAAACAATTATAATAATATATGGTTTTTGTTAAAGAGTAAAATTCCTTCCTTATTTATTTTTTTCTTTTTGCATGAAGAATTCTGTATTCCTAAATTTATACATTTTATTAACAATATTATCTTAGTGATATTTTGAAAAATATTGACTTTTGAGAATACAATAATGAATAAGAAGCAATCTATGGGGGTTTGTGAGTGGAGCTTTCCAATTATAAAGATTATCTTTTTAAAAGAAAATATGTACAGTATAAAAAAAAGAAAATAAATAAATAAAACGAATCACACTGAATAAACTTTGATCAAATAATAAGATTTTCAGGTGCTACGTCTCAATCTTAATGGTATGATGGGATAACACAAACATGCTAATTTAGTGCAGACGATGTTTTAAATTAAAAATTTATACACAAAAACTTACTTTCTCTGAATAAATGTACCCTTTTGTTGACGGAATTGGATTTCTGACTCTCAAAATGCAGGGGGTAGCTGCAATCTGGGAAATATGGCTTGGTCAAGAGAGTTTGGTCAAGAGAGTGGTTCAAAGTTCAGATCCCTCAAGAAATTTTTAAGTGAGTTAAAAACTTTTTGCACGAAATTATAAAATTCATTGATAAAGGATAATTCCACATGAAAAATAGTTCTGAATGATTATTATAATTAGTAATAATTAATAATAATAAAAATATAATTAGTAATAATATTATAATTAGTTATTTTATATTATTTTATTCAATAATAGTCGAAAATCTTGAATTGTAAGGCAGACAAATTTTTGCATAATTTTTAGAATGTAATTCTACAGAGCAAAATAGCAAATTTTAACAAATCCTGAGATAATAACAGAACCTGAGAAATCGAATTTTGAAAAAGTAATATATTTAAAATTCCAATTTTGTTTAAATGTTACATTTTTGCCACATAAAATTACATTCCTTATAATGATGCAAAATTTTTATGATTTACAATAAAATTTTTTCAACTTTTACGAAATACAGTGATAAAAATAATAAATAATAATTAAAAATTATTTTTCGCATAAAATTATCTTTAATTAAACAAATTTTATAAATGTGTGCAAAAATTTTTCAATTTGCTTAAAAATTTCCCGAGATATGACAAAACAAGCAAAAGTAACCTTAACATTAAAAAGTCCAAACTTTAGACCGCTCTCTTGATCAAATTATTGTGATTATACTTTCCATATCATGGCTACCCTCTACATTTTGATGGTCAGAAATTGAAAAGATGGAAAGAGAGATCTATCGAAAAGAGAGACGTGTTTATTCAGAGAAAGTATGTTTGTTTTTTGCTTGATTTAGTAACTTAAAATATGATCTGCACTAACTAATTAGCATATTTTATATCATCCTCTCTAACCATTAAGATTGAGACATAATATGAAAAAATCTAATCATTAGATTTTTTTAACAATGTACAGGAAAAGTACCATAAAAGAAAAATCACTAATAATCAGTGCCTCGATTCATTATGAAGCAAACTGAATTAAAAAGAGAGGAAACAGGACAAAACACAATGTAAAAAATGCATAAATATGCCCTAATCTTATTATTACGTCTTAAATATCCTGTATTAGATTTCACGATTCAATTAAATGCCATTTCATACTTGAACATTCGATTAAGCAAGTTATTTTCCATGTAACTTAATTTAATGTAATGCATAACAAATATTTTATAAAATTAATTTTATTTCTTATGAAAATCTAACCGAAATTTATCATCCTTCAAAGTTAAAGAAAGGTTCCTGATGATTAGTCACTAAATCCTGCAATATTATAAATAGAATGTTAGATTATGGCTACCATATCTCTTAAGCCTCAGTGTTAACAATTTTAACTCTTCAAACCAATGCCCTTTTTGTTTCTTAAGTTGGAAAATGTAACGGTTTACTCATATTTTATCTTTTTTTAATCATTTGCCTGTGTTTTAATCGTCATATCTTTACTTTTTTCCTAAGTTTTATTTTATCTTCGGAGGATATTTTAGATGACGCCAATCAAGTTTAAAATTTTTTATAATTATACACACTATTGGTACTTTAAATTATATTTAAATGTTTCCTTGTATTTATAATTTTATTCGCTTCAGTAAGCATTTATCGTCTCCATACCGTTTTACTTATTTTGTGTGTTAACATCATTTATTTTATCTGGTTTTATTCACTTACACCAATTTAAAATGTTTTTTTGTTTTTATGTTAATTTTGTATATCAGGTTTTTTTTTTTTGTCTTATGTAGCAATAATACAGTCCGTTTAATCTGTAATAAATTGTTTGGCACAGCATGTCCTTATTTGAACTTAGTGCCATTGAACCTTAGATTCAATCAATCAACATCTTTCAGAAATATGTCTATAAACACATGTTTACAATAACACACATACAAAAAAAACATTTTCTTACAAGTTGAAGCAATTGAGAAGCTCCTGCATTTTCTCCCAAAGGTTGTAACTTATTGACTCTTAAAGGAGAACCATTCAACCCTTTTTCAAGAGAGCTACTATTCAATCTCTCTTCAAATTTATTCACCTTCTCTAGAAGATCCCTGAAAAGATTAGATTTCAGTTTAAAAGAAAACACAAAAGAGAAAGAATAAGATTGTTATTTTACTTAATTAAAATCTTCATTCGCCTCGAAATATACAAATTGGAAATAAAAGTTGGCATGCTTCAAGTGCTCAAAAACAGGCACCCATTTTCAAGACTTGCCAGACGTGAATGAGAAGAAACAAAAGTGATTTGAATTATAAAAAATAAAGTTGCCAATGAAAAATAGAAAAATAAATGTTGGAAATAAAACTTCAGAAAGAATAGTAGTCGAAAGAGAAAAAAAGATAAGAAACAGCACAAGAAAAACCACAGTAGCCGAGAAAGGCAAATTAGGGTAAAATGCAGTTCCACACCTTATAAAGTGGAAGTGAGAAACTAATGTTGTTAACAAGGGTTTCCTTCTTAAACTGAGCTTCTAATTTAAGGGGAACATTCACAGTTTATGGCTGATAAAAAGCAATAATAAGATAAGAAATTTAATAAACTTTCATAATAACTCCTATTTAAAATATTTTGTATTAAAATAAACATCTAGTGTTAGTTTACAAATTGTTAAATAGAATATAGATTTGAAATTTAAGTATACTAGTACAAAACATCACAGTTAGTACAAGTTTTAAAAGTATAATAATTTCTATGATAGGAATGATTGAATTATAAAACTATTTAAGAACAGTAGTAATTGTTTAAATATTTTTACTGGGAAATTCTACCAACAATTTCCTTAATTTGGTCTTTTAAAATTGTTTGTCATTGGAATTCAAACATTCATTTAGAATATAGAAGGAAAAAAAAGGAAAAATAGTGTGAAGTGGAATACCAAAAAATAATGCTAAATATATCTGTTTTATATGAGTTGAAAAGATGTTGGCAAGTTTTACATTAATCATATAGCAATTTCTGGTTTTCATCAAAAATTTAGATACATACTGTAAGGAGTACTGTAAGGATTATAATAAGGGATGAAAAAATCTGTTTTGTTCTTTTAGCAATGTAATTTAAAAGATAAAAAATATATTCCATTTTCATTTTTTAACTCATTGTAAACAGATCAATTTTGTATGTTACGCACAATTTCAATAAGGATGCCTTTCAATTTATTCGTAATGACAAGAATCTTGCAATATGCTATACTCATTATTGCCAACAATGCCATTTACTGCATTATTAAAAAACTAAATAAATTAGACACTAAAATTTGTTATTCCCTTTTAAAAAATTTGTCACATTTATCTTGAAGTAAATTTTTTGCCTAATCTCTTAATATTATTAAGAAAAAACTAAATTGAACATGACGAACAATTTTTATTTATTTACTGTGATTAAAAACATGTAAACAGATTAAGGTTAATTAAAAAGAACTAACGAAATAAAATACAAATTCACAAAGAAATTAACTAGTTACGTATACCAATGAAATTATTTCACACAAACACAGTTAAATCAATTTAAAAATTTGTCTGATACTAAATGTCATTTTAACCCAACTATAATAAATATTTAATGAGCAATAGAATAGATGAAAAATCCTAACCATTGAAAGTACATTCTAATAAGACATTAAACATATAACCTATGACAGATACTTCAGTGGATTTTGATATTAAAAGAAAATACTATTTTTTACCACAAACCTGTTTTCTAATTCTGATATATCAGCACTGAGCTTTAAGTGCCATTGCTGAGCTTGACAACACATCTGACATAAAAGCAAAGCAGCAGTGTGTGCAGTGTTGATTAATTCTAGTTCAAGATCACCTTTCAATAATGCACACAGTTCATCTAATAAGTCACGTACTTCATCAACAGAATATGTATCTTCCAATAATCTGAAATAAAAAATAATTAATTTTAAATAACACAAATTCTATTAATACTTGTACTAAGAAAAATTAAAATGACAATTAAAGAACTCATAAAAGAGCCTATACTTAATTTCAGTAAATATAGTCGGTTTTATGAACCTTTTGCTATGCAGAAAACTAAATTCAAATACAGAACTTCAGTAATAAAATACAAAAACGAACGAGATTAAAATGTGTATTATAGTTCAAGATAGAAACAAAATAGGATATTTTGATTATACTAAGAAATATTAGGTATTTCATTTTATATAAAATTAGTTCAAGTCAGTTTCAAAAGTTAGCCTTTTTCCTCTTCTTTCATTTGTGTTTGAAGAGATAGGAGGTGCAATATAATTTGAGTTTATTAAAAAAAAATTAATGTTTGTGATGAATGCTTCAATAATATTGAGAAATTATATTTAATTTTACATTAAACTAGCTCAAGTTAGTTTCAAAAATTAGCATTTTTGTTCTTCTTCCAGATGATCTAGAAGAGATAAAAATGTATGTTTCTGCTGAGCGTTTAAATTTAAAACCCGGTCCAAGTCTTTTATGGAAAAGACTTCATGTTTAAGTAATTTAAATTTACGATTTAATCTTCAGAATCTACAACCTAAATAGCTATTTAAACCAAATTAAATAAAACTAATATTAAGTAAATATAATACAAAACACAAAATCAATTTAGGGACCATTTATTACGCATTATTAAATTTGTAAACTCAGAATTTTGGTTTTTTAACCTAGCTACTTTTCTGCATTACAAAATTTACAAACTAGTTTTTTAATAGTTATTCAATGAAAAAGTTGTACGTACAGTAGAAAACTCCATACAAACTAGATAAAGCTAGTAATACTGTGCTTGGAGGGTAAAATCTGTTTGCATTCTTACTATGCAAAAATATATTTTAAGTTGCAACATATTTAATTCTACCATACTACAATTTCTTGCAGTATAAGATAAATTATTAAGCTTAAATCTATACTTTAATATGTCAATAAATCAAAACTAATCTTTGATAAAAAGAAGAAACTGCAGAAATTCAAAAACTAAATTCAAGTTCAGCATTCACAAAATAATTTTGCTTGCAAATGAAACTTTTTTTTCCGTGTTTAAAGAATTTATTTTCGCTGACATAAAATGATTAAAATATATCAGAAGAAATTTTAAGAAGTAATTTAATTTTTGAATCACAAAATTTTGTTTAATAGATTACCTTGATAATTTCATATCATCAAAGGTCTGCTCAATGGTTCGCAAATGCTTACTTCTCCTAAACTTAGCAAACTTTAAGTAGCTACCTATCATTTCACTGTGGAGTTCAGATAATGCTAAATCTTCAGCCTAAAATAAATAAAAAATGAATAAATAATTTATTTATATTAAAAATTCAGATTTATAAAAAAATGCACATTAAAATGTGATACATACCCAATATTTACTTTTAAATAAAGGTCATGATAGATATGTGATATTTTCAGACAAAGTAACAAATTTTTTAGTCAAAAAAATTTGCCATTTAATAAAATATAATTAAGTCTAAAATATCCTTACTTATTCTATTATAGACTGCACTTAATCTCTGCAACCTTAACTCCTAAACAATATTGAAAATAGTATTGTTAAATATGATTTTCTGAACATTGAAGCCACAGTTTTGGTGAGAAATTTGAAGTTAGAATGTCTTTCGAAACAGAAAGCATCTCTTTTTCTAACTAGTGAATTACTTGCTGTTTCTATTGATGACTGCTGTACTAGGATGTATATCTATAGCTTTAGATTTGTTCACTCTTAACTTTGCAATCCATATGATATCAAAAAAACAGAAAAACCATCTTTCATGTTTAGATACTTTAATAAAAAGAAGTAAAGGGAGAATCCATGTTATGAATTTTTAATGTAAAAAAATTGTTGTGACTTAAGTTTTAGAATTCAATTAAGAAGTTTAGTCAAATTAAAAGTTAGCAAAATCTAATAATAACTTTGAATTTTAGTGACTACTAAATCAAAAATATATATATATTATATTTGAGAAACTTCTGTTCACTAACATTTTATTTAAAAAAAATATTGTTAAACACATTAGGAAATTTAAATTATATTATAAAAGTATATACCTATATAAAAGGCTTTTTTCATGTAATGTTTATACCAGACCTTAAATTATTTTACAACAATAAGGTTAACTTTTTAATCCAAAATATTGGATTGATACCTAAATATTCAATATTTTTAAATATAGCATGCCATTTATGTATTTTAAAATTACGTATTAGAAAATAAATCCAATAAGAATTGTATAAACTCTTATATAATATATGGATACATACATCATATAAGAGTATATACTATTCTTATAAGATGTATTTCCTAATAAATAATTTTAAATTATGTAAATGGTATGTTATTAATAAATACGTGAAATTATAAAAGTTTAATCTTAAAATAGCTTGTTTATACCTCAGTCCATCTATTTCCCTTAAAATAACCAATACAATAAATTATACTTTTTGTGAAGATTTGCTTTTAAAAATGTTAAAAGCTGTTTAAAAATTATTCGTTTAGTATCAATATGCTTTACAAACCACAAAACAACAAAAATATTTTTTTTAAATATTTTCACCTCAATACATGTTTCAAAAATTAATTCTTTGCATAATGAACTTTAAAAATGGTTTATTATAAATGCTTTATTGTAAGATCTTATATATTTTCGTTCACCTTTATAATGAAACGTCAAACAAAACAACAAATCTAAATTACAATTACTAATAACATCGAAATTACTTCACATAAGTGAGAAATGTATAAAGGAAAGGAGTTTTTTATTTAAAAATATTACAAACATAAACAGCTTAAAAAGAAGAAAAAAGAAATAAGCGAATTAATAATTATAATAGAAAAAATTTATGTTCCTATGTATTGACATTTGTTTATTCTAAAACCCCAATATTGAAAAAAAAATCTGAATATTAACTCACAAAAAATACTAAGCATATTTTTTAAACCCCCAAAAAGATCTTAGAAGCTTTCAAATGTAACCTAAATTTAAAGGCTTCTAGAAACTGATTGTATAATAAAACTTAATTTTGGAAATTTCATTTACATAAATGAAAGCCTTTTTTCATAATGAAATCAAGGGTTTTAGTAGAGCATGAAATGTTTTAAGCTTTTTTATTACAAAGAAGAATTTACAAAGCATTTGAGTACAGAAAATGATTAAAATAAAAATACAGTAAAATATTACAATTCAAGATAATTTTAGATATTCAGATTCTTTAAAATTGATCAGAAATTTAAAATTGAGCATATGATTTTAAAATGCTAGAATGTAAATATTTTAAAAGAAAAATCATTACAGCAGGCGTAATAAGCGATCAATAGTTTATGAACCAATATTTACGATCTACACCAAATGTTACCATAGTTTTTACTGTTTACCAATTCTTGAAAACAATTTAAATTACTTTTAGCAATAAAGAGTGTAGACAACAAAAGTAATTGTACATTTTGTAACTTGTAAAATATTTTACCATATTTCCCAATTTAGTATTTTTGCTCAATAACAGAACATTCGAGGGAAAGATAAATTTATCATTAAAACATACTGCATTCCAAGCGAATTTGAATTTAAAAGTAACATATGAATAGAAACAAAACAGTCTTGAGAGTTGTATCAGTTGTCATAGTAACGATAACGATTATTAAAATCTCTTAAAAAATCGTTTCGATTCTTAGTATTTATTTTGAAATAATCTTAAAAGATGGCAGCAGCAAGAATAAGTAAGCTTTAAATTGATTGATTGATGATTGTGCTTTTTGACAGGACAGGAAACCATTTGTAAACAAATTATAAGTTTTATCTAGCTGCATAATTTTTCTGCTCATATTTTGCTGCTTTTTGAAGTTGACTTTTTGATAAAAAAATATATATATTCTTTTGATACTATGGCTTCTATGGAAAGAGAATCCATACAAAAACAAATCCAACAAGACTGGGCCAACAGGGAATACGTGGAAATTATTACAGCTAGTATTAAGAAGATAGCAGATTTCCTAAATTCTTTTGGTGCGTAGAACACTGTATTAATCAGTGCAATTAGTTTAAAAAAATTACCAGATGTTCTTAGTGAAATTGTAATCCCATGAGTTGCCAATTTTTATCACACAATACCCCTTAAAAGCTAATATAACACTTTAATTTAAATAACTGTTTATATAGTTAGATTTGTTAATGATGCTACTGTTTCTACTATTTTATTGCTGGAAATATTTTATAAAACAATTTTTCATAATATAACAGTATAATTTTGAACAACCAATCATCTTTCGTGACTTATTTTTTTCATGACATAAACTTGTGTTTTTAGTATTATGATATATGAGGTGTTTGAGAATATCCTTAATTTTGAATCAATTTTACTATAAATTGTGATTTAAATTTAAAAAATATTTTACAAAAGTCACATTATTATTTTAATAATCTCTAAAAAATTTGTGGGATATTTTTAGAAAAAATTTTACTTTCTGTTTCCATCTAACTAAATCACTCATTACTAATGATGTTGTTTTCTTCTTCCCCCCGCCCTCTTTTTTTTAGAAAGTTATATTAGTTTTTATTATTTTTTAGATATGTCATGTAGAGCCAGGTTGGCCACCCTGAATGAAAAACTAACTTCTTTAGAGAGAAGGATAGAGTATCTTGAAGCGAGAGTAAGAATTTTCTTTCTAAATATAATTTATTATTATTATTTTTTTTAGTGTAGCATTTATTCATTGAGAGTTAAGAGGTGGTTTGTTAGGACTGGTCCGTGTAGGCAAGGGCGCCGGCAGGGGGGTGCAAGAGGGTGCACTTGCACCCCCCTGGCTTTTCTTCTTTAAAACAACTAAAGAGATACAGAAAAACAATTTTGTTATACAAAAAATTTTTACTAAAAATATTTTTATTCAAAAACAATCAATTAAGTAATTATTGATACATAACAATTAAAAAATTGTTCAATCAAACAAGAATTGTAATCGTCTTGTTTGCTGACCAAGTCAGTTTATAACATTTTCAATAAATTCTGAGTCATCTTTGATTCTTTTCTTATGCATAAACTTGGCAGATATCTAAGTTATACATTTTAATTTCATTTAATGAAATAAAAGTAATATTATATTTTCTATGAGTCATTTAGTTTAACAAAGGTGTGTAACACAAACTGACCTCTCACAACTGTAAAACTTCATCAACACAATAAATACCAATGTTAAGCGTGCACAAACACATTAGTATACGAAACTACTGTTTGTAGTTATTTGTGTTTCAAAGTCAGTAGCTATGCCAGTGTAATCAATACAGTTTCTAGTGGCAAGATTTGCAAGTACAAGAAATTCATACTTTTTTTTGAAAATATCTTGTTAACATTTAAGAAATGTATCTTGAAAAAAATTAACTGGTGTAAGTATATGTATTAGCAAAACAAAATGTAATAACAGAATATTTAAAAAAAAAAATTGGGGGGGGGGGANTGGGGGGGGGGGGGGTAGTTTGTAAGAAGGTTGCACCCCCTTTTGTTATTCTGCCAGCGCCCTTGCGTGTAGGTAAACACCATCAGCAACCCCTGATTAGCCTGTTGTATACATCATGAACTACCCTTGATTAGCCTGTTTGTGGAGTAGTGAACATACATCATTAGATCTTAAGTCTCTGCATCAACTGCCATTCGAATCTATTTCGCTTTGAATTCAATGTCAGTCAAGCTGACGTTAAAATGGCAAAATGTGCTTATAACTGTTGTAATGCTAAATTTAATAGGAAAAAAAATATTTATAATTAAAATAAACTTGTATATTTGCTCATTGAAGATATTTGCTCATAGGTATATTTGCTCATAGATGCTATTATATTAACATTAAACTAAATATGCAAATGTTTAATGTTAATATAATTTTAATGATAGAATTTGTAAAGAACAAATTTAGTTTCTCTTTTTTTAAAATATTTTTTAACTTTATCTGAACTGAAACTATGAAAAAAAAATTAATTGAATAAAAAGGACTGAAAATATTCATAATTTAACTTAATATTCATCTTTAATTATTAAAACTTTCGATAATTTATTAAAATAAATACTAACTGTGAATAAATAATGTTATATGACACAGTATTATATTGAAATAGTAATACTCTTTTTTCACATTTAAACAGAATCATATTTTTTTTAAAAATAAAATTAAGCAAATTATCTCTTAATATCAAATGAGAAAGTCTGCATAATTGCATGTATTTAGTAATTATTTACTTACTAGGAATGCTGGTTTAAGTTTTTAACTAATAATATTTGTAAACAAATATCGTAAATAAAATATTTATGAATTATAGTTTTATTCTCTAAAAATTATTTACTTAACTTTTATTTCTTTACTTATGAATGAGAAAGGAANTTTTTTTTTTTTTTTTTTTTTTTTTTTGAGAATACTGGGGATTATAAACTTTTGTACTATTTTAATTGTATTGTGTTTTTTACAGTAAAATAAGTTTAAGCATTATTCTATTAAATGTATATGATATTTGATATAAAACAATGTTTTTTTTTTCTTTTAATATTTGTAATTTGAAAAGAAACCTATAATTTTCTTTCAACTTTTTGTTCAAAAAAAATAAAAATAAATATGTACAAATGACTTATTGACTCATTTCTGTGTTTATTTATTTTTTATTGTGATAAAAAGCTTTTTTTTTTTATGTATAACTTGTTTAAAAAAAATTATCCAAGTTTTTTTTATACAAACACCATTCGCAAAAAAATTATTAATTAAAAAGAGACTGCTTAAGCGAAGAAAAGGATGTTTTATTAATTACACTTTCTAAATGGACAGTTGCTTTGAATGTGTTATTGGATACATTTGGCTGACTTTAACTTTTTTTCCCTTTTTAATATCAATTTTAAATTTAAGCTATTCTTATAACACTTATTTCTAAACAATTGTATTGGTTATTTTCATTTTCTCTCATTTTATCCAGTGTCTTGGAAAAAAAGGTTTAATCCCATCCCTGTATTCAATGTACTTGTCTGTCACTGGAGAACTGACTGATTTCAAGATTTAAAAAAACTTGGTAATAAAACACGTTAGAAGAACTAAACAAGCGATGTGTTTGTTGAGTGAACTAGAAAAAATTTACACAGAAAATTTGGGATTTAGTTAAAAGTTGCAGGACATCAACTACCATAGTGATCAGTTTTAGCATTAAAGTATGAATGGAGGCAGTATTACCAGATTAAACCATGCATTCAATTGAACAAAATATGTTACTGGTACAGGAATATAATAGGTGATTATCTGGTACAGGTTAGATTACTTTCTCTTGGCATTTGTATACTTTTCATGGACACTGCACAGCTTCATCCTTTAGTAACTTTTGCAACTAAATTCCAAAGTTTCTATATTTAAAGTTTTAAAATTTCGCAATAAATCTATCATTTGTTTCATTCATCTGTGAATTTTTGTTTTGTCAAATTTTGAAATCAGTCGGGCCCTCAATTGGACGCTCCGTAAATTACACGTTAATGTTTTGCTTCCTTTTGGGTATTCCAAAGAAGGGTTACAGAGGTTCTGAGAGTGTTTACTTTTTTTCTTTTTAACCTTTGTAATTCTATTTAGATTAAAATAATATTCCATTATTATGAAATTAGTCAAGCAAAATAGTGGTGAAAAAGGAGATAAGAAAATGAAAGAAATATATACTTGTTCTAATGACAATATATTAAAAAAAAAAAATTACGAAAAGAATGTACATTTATAAAAAATTGCAATAGTATTTCCCATCAAACCTTTCAAATCAAAAATTATACAACTAATTTCAACAGTAAAGATATGTTTCCCCAATCATCATTCTCTATGTTTATAAATTCTTTTTCATTTCTATTCCATCAGAAATATAATTCATCTTATTTTATTAATTTTTAATGTCTGTATATACTAAAAGATAAATGCCATTCTAGGTTTGAGAACTTAATTATCTGTCATGTAACTTGATATTAAGGTAGCAATTAATAAAAATGTTTACTTTTCACCTTAAATATTTTCAAAATTATTTATACCAAATCTTGTATTGCTTAATAGTGGTGAACTTTTTTATTTTTATAAAGTCAGAGTTTTGCCAAAAGAAGGTTGATAATTGAGAGTTCCACAGCTGAAAAAAAAATGAGTAATAGCTGTGCTAATGCATAAAATGATACTAATATCTATACTAACAAATAGAAGTGAAAAGTAATAATGTGCTATAACGATGTTTTTAAGTTACATTGTTTATTCAGCACATAAAAAATATTTATTTGACTAATTTTAAAAACAACCTAGATAAACATGAGAACATATTGAGGAATGAGTTCTGAATATAAGGAGAGAGAAAAATCAAAATAAGGAGAAAAAATGTGTCCTTATTTGTTTAGTATTTTTAAAAACATTTTAGTTTAAATCATGTAACCTTCATTAAAAATAAAATTGTTTACTACCAGTTAAAAAAAATTAATGCCCCTACTAAGAAGCTAGGTTGTTTGCTTCACATGTCTCTTTTTTGCATAGATTCAGGCATTTATTAAATTTGAAACTTTAATATATTTAGTTACAAACTAAATATAGTAATGAAAAAATAAAGTAGGCAAATTTTATTGGTAGCCATTAGTGCTGAATTGAATTTAAAAGTTTTTTTTTCTCAATGTAAAATTTGCTAATTTGTTATTTTAAAGTGCTTGTTATGTTTTTCATTTGTTTTTTTGCCAAATATTCCGTTAAATCGTTTAAGTGCCACACTTAGCAAACTACTGTCCTTAATCTTGCCAACTTTTCAATAGTATGAGGTTAGTAGAGTCTCCTTATTAAGTTAATTATTCTATGTTATTCCAGCTTTTTGTGTAAGAAAATTTTTCTGCTAAAAAATTTGCATTTATAATTTTTTTTAATATTATAATTATATTACCTTTCTAACTTTTATTAATATTTCTTTTCATTTTTCAGGTCACAAAAGGAGAAACTCTGACATAATTAAGAGTATCATTTGTTCCAAAAACATGTTTATGTGGTGATTGCTTACTTGCATTTTCAATGTTTCTTTTTTATCTATTTGTATTGTAATTATGTATACAAAAATTAAATGTTTAATGCATTAATACAAACATTTCTTTTGAATTAAACAAAAATAACCAAACATTTAGATTTATGGAATGCCGTTGTTGAGTCTTGTCCCAACACTGGTATACATGTTTTTTATTTAGTTTATTGAGCACAAGAATCATTGAATTTAACAAGAATAACATGCATTTTTTTCTCAATTTTTAAGACTCTCGGGTCTCAATCCCTTAATTGGATTTTCTATGACCCAAGATTCAATTTTGACAATGCCTAAATTATTTCCACCCCATTCAGATTAGCTCATCTTGATGCCCTGGAATCTTGTTTTATTCATATGAATGCTGATTCCCCTGCTAATGTGGAAATTCATTTCACCCTGATTTGCCCTTCTCGGTCGCTGTGGTTTTTTTTTTTTTGTTCTGTTTCTAATCTTTTCTCTTTTTTCTCGGCTACTGTGGTTTTCTAGTTTTGTTTCTCACTTTTCTTTTTCCATTGACGTTTTATGTTTCAAATCACTTTTGTTCCCTCTCATTCACATCTGGCAAGTCTTGAAAAATGGGAGTCTGTTTTTGAGATCTTGAAACATGTCAACTGTTATTTTCTATTTTTATATTTTTGAAGCGAATGAGGTTTTTAATATCTTACCACTTCAGTTTCTTGAGATTATTTAGCATTTAAAACCTCAATTGTTTCCTTAATAATTCACAAATTTAAATAAATGTTGAATTATACTAGAAAATATTTATTAGATAAATAAAAGTATACTACAGAATAGTTTTTTAAATGAGTTTTTGCATCAAATTCAAAAACAACTTTCTTGATATAACCAAGTTTCAAAAATTTTATCATTTAAAAGTTTTATTTTGGTTGATAGATGCAGCTTTAAATTCGACTTGTGATCATTTTGAAACAGTTAAGTTATTATTACACTTTATCAAGAGAATTAAAAAAATTTGATGATTCAAATGCTTTAAGTATTTTTGTTTTTTAAATATTATGTAACTTATAATTTAAAGCACTACTTGAAAATGATCTTTGTAAATTAGATTTGAAATAATCAACTCTATTCTCAAAATATAAAAGGGTGTGTCGTATCAACAGAAGCTCAAAAAACTAAAGCAGAAAATATACAACATTAAAAATCCACATATTTCGAGTGCTCATATAGTACACTTATTCTGCAGACAAGGTATTAATATTGAATAACAACATTTTTAAAAACTGTCTAAAGAAATAAAAATAATTAAAACTTTTTAAAAAAAATGACGTATATTGCTAAATAAAAGGACTTTATGAAAGATTTAAGAAAATTGTACTTTTTGATTAGCCAGGCTCAAGTGAAAGTCTCCATAAAATGTAGATCAGCAGCTTTTAATTTCTTAAAAACATATAAAATAAACAAAAAAAAGTTTTATTATTTTGTGCCTGGCTAACCAAAAAATACTAAAAAAAATAGTTTATTTTAAGTTAGTAATTATTACGAAAAAAATATGACACAAGAAGATAGGATAATTTTATTAAACTCATTTAGTGAATAAAAATTATGTTCTTATAAGAGGAAAAAGAAAATTTCTCAAAATCTTTTAAATGGTACTCGAATCAAGCTATAATTCAGTCTGTTAACAACATTTATTAACTATTTTGTGACCGATTACAATGTATGCACAGTTTTGAATTGCAGACATTGTGTAATTCAAGGAAATAAAATTTATGGGGTATTATTGTATGCTAATTATATGCTAATTAATATGCTAAATTATATGCTAATTAATAAAATGGCACAAATATTCTACTTATAAAAAGTAGCTATAAGTCTGAGCTTTAATGTCCCTTTTAAAATGAATTAACATTATTTGTCAAGCCAATATTTTACGTAATGTTAAAAATTTTTATTTCATATGTTTTAAAAGCTACTATGGTAATAAATTTTGAATTTCATAAGAAAACATTTTTATTTATTTATGTTAAAAATAACTTAAAGTAAAATTCTGAACACTCATTTCAATTAATAACCGATTGAAAATACTGCTGAAATATTAAGAATATTGTTAACTATTGAAACTTGATTTCTATTATTTTACTATTGTTAACTGATTGAAAATATTCGGAAAGTACTTAACTCAGTAAAGCATAAGTTGAACATTTTCAATTTTGTACATCAATATTAAATATCATGACTTCAACAAGAAAATAAATTTAAAAAAGCCTACTAGCAAAAGTTTCTGTTTAACTTCTTATATTTGAAAAAAAAAAAAAAAAATCCAATATTTGGATGCAATACTAAAGTATTCCAGATTTTTTAGCATCAAAATTTTTTTTTAACTCTTATGATTTTATTTTACAAAGTTTCAACTAAAAAAACTTTGATACATTTAAAATTTACAAGACCATTAAAAGCAATATCATAGAATTAATAAAAATTCAGTTATAATTAACATGCTTTATGTTATAAAAAAATTTTGTTTTTACAATACCAAAGCTAACTTTTAACATTTTAGTTTAATTCATAAATTTGAACATATTTTGTAGTTGAAATGTTGGCATAAGATTTCTCCATTTCCAAAAATTCAAAGTACTATTGGGACAAATCTTCTTGGTTCTTCAAATCTTCTTCAAAAAAAGTTTCTTGGACAAATTAAAACATTATCTTTTTACAGTAGAATACAAAATATACTTTTATTGCTTGATTTAAATAAAAGATAGTCACACTATAAACAAGCAAAATTTTTATGAATTTCGCAAACTTATTTTTTTTTAAACCGGTATTTTTTTGAGCTGAAGCTTGGACAATGACAAAACTGGAGGAAAATTGTATCACAATATTTGAGAGAAAGATTTTGCGAAGTATACTTGGTGGTGTAAATAAAAACAGTAACTGGAGAAGATTTAACTTTGAACTGTACAAGATTTATAAACAACCCGATATTATTAAATGCATAAAAATTAATAGAATGAATTGGATGGCCCACGTGATTCGAATGAGTGATGACAATACAATAAAAAAGATACTGCTTTTTAAAACCACTGGAAAAAGAAAGCGGGGAAGGCCGCGGTTGAGATGGGCTGACTCAGTGGAGTCTAATTTTCTTGCAATTAATGAAAAGAATTGGAGATCAAAGATAAATCGGAAGTCGTTATGGAGAAATCTTCAGAGGAAGACATTGGGTCAATGTCAGTCTAAAAATATTAATTTACCCGGAAAATGACTTTTAAATATTTTGAAATTCTGTTTCATTAATGTTTTTAAAAATTGTGAGGTATGAAACATTAGCCCACGTTATTTAGCATTTACTAAAATATATTATAAGTTAATATTAGCATGTGCTGCTGTTTTACCACAGTATTGAAGAATATTTTTAATCTTATATAAGTATTCAAAGTTGTTGCATAACGTTTTTTTAAATAAACAATAAAATTTAACTGAAAAAAGTAAACTATAGATCCAAAATAAAAGTTTTATATAAAAAAAACTGCTGCAGTATGAGCATTTTAAAAATAAAATTGCACATGAAACTAGCTTTTTTAAAAACTGAACGTGATGAATATTTTTACGAAGAGGTGTAGTGAATTTTGAGAAAAACTTCTAATTTCTCATTATTATCATCAAGATACTTTTTACACCAGTCTGGTGTTCAAAGTTTTAAGTCTCGTTCTCCAGGGCTTGCATCCTAAGCAGACTCCTTAACTAAGCCATCCAAGCGCATCTTTTTCACCCTCTATCACTCTTCCCTATGTTAGTTTTGGTCCTCCTCGCTTCTTTCCTCTGGTGTCCAGATGAGAGCTACACGAGGATGAGACCAGATGAGAGCTGGCGGGTATTCACAGAATGCATCCCATCCACGTTCATCTTCGATTTTTTCTTCTCAGTAATGGGCCTCGTTTTGGCCCCTTGATATAGTTGCTCATTTGAAATTACGTAAGGCCAAGAGATTTTGAAAATCCTGTGTAGATCTTTAGTTTAAAAAGAGTTCAAGGAGTTTTTTTCAGAATAAGTAAGTTACTAAGCTTCGCACCCATAAAATAAGACGTCTTTAACTGATGCATTGGAGATGGGTAGTTTCAATTTGATTGTTAATGCTGAAGAGGTCCATATTTTACTTAATGTTCTAAAAATACCACATGCTTTAATCATTCTGGATGTAACATCTTCGTCAGTTTCACTTGTGGTAGACACTATTGAACCAAGATAACTAAAAGTATCAGTATCTTTCATATAAGCTTTGCACATTGAATTTAGTTACTATGTTACTGTTTAATTTCATTGCTTTAGTTTTTTCAGTATTTAGCTTTAGTTCTACAATTTCTATCACAAGTTGTGTTTTCCGTTACATATTTTCAAATGTGGACGACTGCAGAACAATATTGTCTGCATAATCGAGGTCCTCTAAAAGGTATGTAAAGTTCCACCGAATTTCTGTTCTTTTATTAATGGTGGTTTTCATCATAATCCAGTCTATAACAATAATAAACAGATCAGACAAAGCACAGCCTTGTCTTTCACCGGTTCCAATCCTAAAACTTTCAATTGCTGTGCCATTTGTGTAAAAGTCTTTGATAGCCTATGTTAATAATCTTCTCAGGTATTCCATAGGCTTTAAGAATGCACCACAAACACTCGCGTTTGATGCAGTCAAAGACTTAGGAAAAATCAATGAAGTTTAAATATAGGGTAAATATAACAATGGAAAATATGGATTTTCCAGAATGGATTCTCACGCCACTTTCTGCTTATGTTTAACTTGCAGGATGAAGTCAATGAATTATTAGTAGACCTTGAAGCAAAGATGCTTATTAATAATTTAGCTGAAAGTAAATTTTGGAAACATTGCCGAATATCCAAAAGTTAGTGGTTGGCATTTCCAATTTCAATTGCTTTCCCAAGCCATAAGTAGAATGATACATATTTTAATCATGTAATTCTATTTTAACAAAGAAGAGAAATAAATTGAATGTGGAGCTCAGAGACTATGCAAGACTGAAAATAACCAATTTCAAACTAACATTGCTAATCTAATCAAGCACATCCTTCTCATTGATTTATGTCAAAATAAAATATATAAGAAACAAAATATTTCTTTTTAATCATTTTTTGTTGATAAGAGAATTATAAAATTTTTGATGATCATAAAAGTTTGACGGCTAGAATATTTAATCTAATACTGCTTTTGAAGTAAACTAACAATGTGTTATACACAAAGATTTTAAAAATACATAAATTTTCTTTTTGGGGGAGAATTAAAATTTGAGCAATAAAAGTTTTGTTTGACTGCAGGCTGAAATTTTATGCAGGTTTTTTAGGCATCTTTCCTACTTTTAAAAAAAGTCTGTTTTCTGAAATTTAATGTTGTTAAGAAGAAAAAAAAGTAAATTATAAATAGAAGCAAAAATCAAGGTTTTATTTTTAACAATGTGCATAGAAAATTTAAAAGGAATTTTTTTAAGAGCATTCACACACACACAACTCTCTTAATGTTTTATTAAATCCAGGGCTCGAAAAACCGCCCGTCCGCGGGGGTCAAAAATTCCCTGAGGACAACGAATTTCTCTAATCTGACGCCCGCGCTGACGGCAATTTTCCCGTCTTGACCTTTGTCATTTAAATTATTTCATAAAAGAAATACTAGGTTACTATTAGTAACCTAGTATTTCTTTTATTACTGTATAATGCAATCCTAGTATTTGTAATCGTAGTAACTACTAATTCATTGTGCAATTTAAATAAATGTTTGTAATAAATAAGAGAAAATTATATTTTTATTTATTTAGAAGCTACGGGTTAGTTTCAAAGGAGGACAGGTGCATTGTTGGACATGCCGTCCTCGGGGACGGGTAAAATTTCTGAGTTTTTCGAGCCCTGATTAAATAACTAAAACATACATCAATTTGCAAAATTGCACTGCTATAAAAACTCTATGTTTTTAAAGAAATGACACGTTAACTACATTTCAATAATTTATTGGAAACCAAATAAAACTACAGATAATATACAGATGAATCAATGAAATGTTTATATTTACAACCGCTAACGCTAACAATCTTACGTTCATTTTCTTCTGGAGCCACCGCCAGCCAAAAGCATTGCAATTCGAATGAATATATTTAATGTATCTAAGTAAATTGAGATAGACCTAAAACAGAAATAAAAACAAAATATAATAAAGGCTTTGACTAAAGGGAAAGAAACATAAGGTTTTAATTATGTTTCCAATGCTGAAAAAAGACATGGTTTCAATGTTTTATTCTATTCAATATATAGTTCTCTCATTATTACTATACACAAATGTGTATCTGTGAGCTCTAAAAAAAAATTTTCTGACAATATGACAGATTTAGAGACACTTTTTGCTCTTCATCCAAGATGTTTGCAAAGAAGATTAATCACAGAATACATATTTATCCCTAAATAAGTACACTTAATTAATAAATACATGGTATTTTATACATTCTGCTATTTTTTATGCCCTCACAGCCCTTTTAGTATGGGGCATATGTAGGTAGGTTTTTCTTTTTTGTATTACAAAAAACTGAAACAAGTTAATATTTCAGCAATTCTTAACTTTTGATATTGAAATATTCATGACATAACTTTAGGTAACAATTTTGAGGGTGGATTCAACATCAAATCAACCAATGGTCAAAATTCTTGGCCTTCATTTAGTTTATTTTGACATGGTTCCCACTTATTTTTTTTAAAAACAAAATCCAGCATCTAACATCAAATTTTTTTAGGACCTATTCAGTAATATAGTGAGTACGCTAAAATACATGTCAACTAAATTTTATAATTATGTAGATGCAGAAATAGTATATTTTTAAAGCACAATGCTTAGTTTACAAAAAAATGTATTTAATAATTACATCAAATGTAATAAACACTTGTTTTGTAATTCCAATTTAATAAATACATTTTCTTTCTTTAAATTTAAAAAAAGTAAAAGACTGAACAGTAAAGCATTAAAAATAACAATATTAACTCATCGTAAGAATGAAATTAACGAAATGTGTATATTTCAAATTCGATGAAACACTGCATATCGAGCGGAAACTACGACAACAAAAACGAAAATTATTAGCTACAAATTTCAGTTTTTGAAACATCAGAGAGGTGAATGATAACCTGGCACAAAAAAACTAGAGACAGATTTTACACCTTGCCTTTTCTTTTTCACTTTCAAGCATTAAAAATCTGTGTGCTACAAAATTAATGCATACTACCAGTGGTTAAAAGTGATTAATACTAACCATGATTTGTTACAATATTTTTTTTTTTCACAATTGATTTCCCTTGAACATATTTTGTCATCCAATCACAGAAGTGGCAAATAAGGATAAGGGTCTTTAATTTTCAGATTGCTGACTTCAACTATCCTTCAGTAAAGAAGGAAGCGTAATGATTTGAACTTGTATCAATTCTTCTTGAATTTTTTAGTAAGTAAGAGTATTATTTTAATGTAGAGAAAATAAAATGATATTTCGATGGAATCATAAAGAAAAGAAAATCTATTTTCTATCTTATCCTTGAAATAAATCATGTAGTTACATGAATATTTCACATTTTACAGGAACTACTTTTAAATTAGTAATAACTTTACTACATGATTTGTCACTGTTAAACTGGAAAATTTTCTTTATGATCTTGTAGGATTACCATCTTGAAATTTGGCACACACAATGCTAAAATGGAGTTAAATAAAACAATTTCTCAGAAAATTTAAAAATCTTGATTTTTTTGTAAAGAAATTTAAATTTTTTTACCAATAAAATTATCCTCTAAAATAACTTAGACTTGTTACATAACTTATGAAATGCTATTACAAACTAAACAAAATGATAACAAACAATTCATAAGTTACAGCTGTTCAAAAACTATCAAATACATTCACTTCTTAAGGATGTTTTAGTAAATTTTCTTTATAAGTAAACTTTAAAATCTATTAATCAAGAAGATAGAAACTATCACTGACAAGTCTTAAGAAGTCATATTTTCTTTATTAAGAAGTCTTTAAATCTTATTTTCAAAACTATGCTAGTTTTTTAAAATAAAATAAAATTCATGTCATTCTTCCCATTTTTCATTCAATTGCAAGATCTTAGAAGAAAATGAAAGAATTTTCAAATGTTAGCTTTAAAAATTTTTTTAAAGTGAACCTCGAGCAAATTTCTTAGCAAATTACTGTTATGTATCAGTATTAATTTTAATACACCTTGACTCAATAAAAGAGTAAAGGACTGTCATTTTAACTTACAAAGAACATTTTATTTCGCCCAAAAATATAATATAAGAATAAAATAAATTAAGAAAAGATTGAAGATTAAAAATTAAGAAAATTAATTCAGAAATGATTGAAGATTAAAAAAAATCTCAACTTACGCATTAATGGGATCATAAGGTTTGTAAGCATACAAGGGATAACTTTCAGCCATACGCACAATACGTTGGGTATCATATAATAAAAATCCTCCAAATAAAACTAGACCACCATACATGCTTATGCTATATAAACCTGCACCTAGAGCAGTGGTTGCTGGCAGAAACATAGATCCTAAAAGTATCAACTGAACATTAATTTACAATGCAGAGTAGTTTTGCAACATACCAAAAAAAATAATAATAATAATAAACAGTTAAATTGATAAATAATTTTAATTTCTGGTTCTTTAGAAGAATTAAAACATCTTCATTCAGAAAAAGTCCGTTTTCTTTTCATAGAACACAAAATAATTTAAGAAAATCAACCCGTTGCTAGATAAAGATCTTACGCAAACTTTTAATCTTAAAATTAAAGTGTATCAGTAACAAAGCCAAAGAGTTGGTTGAGAGAGATTCATCAGTTTTTATCTGTCTCATACCAAATAGTTTTAAAGTAGGACTTTCAGTTGATTCTATGTCCTATTTAGACAAATGAACAGTCTTCTTGTTAACAAGTAATCCAAATAATTAACCTTATATAGTTTAAGACTACCCTTTAACACTTTCTGTCATAGATAATTTCATATAAAGATTTTAATCAAACATTAGAAACTGTGACCATAGATATTGCAATTACTTAGGTTCTATATTGTTTAATAAATAGTAGATTAACAAAATTGGTGGACATTTAGAAGCTTAAATTCTTCAGACAGTTTTTTTTTTTTTACATTGAAGTCCTGCACTAGTTCATTAAAAGACCAAGATAAAAATCTTGTTCATTTATTTAGTTAACAAAATACAGTGGAGAGTTTGGCATCTAGTATTGCTTAAACTTGGATATTTTTCTGTATAATAGGTCATTCAGATAAACATGGAACCAAAACATGTGTTATGCATTAGAGTTCATATTCAGAAAAGAAAGAAATTTTTCCCCTTACTTTTCCAGGTAACATAAAATTTCAAGAAAAAACATAAAGCTAAAAATTAAAACTGTAAACTATTTTTAACACAAAAGTAAAATGAAAAAAAAAAAATGTATTTTCAACATATTTGAGGCAATGATTTAAATTAAATGGTTAAAATAAACAATTTTAATAATCTGATTTTTTTAAAAATAAAATTATCTATTTTGAACATTTACGTGAAATTCAATGATTAAAATAATTTGTTGTATTTGTAGATTTTAAGGAATGAGAGCAAAAAATATAATCTTTCCAAAATAAAATTTCAAGTTTTTAAACTAATTTATAGGTGTAGAGGAGAGTGGAGTAAGACAGGGTGCCTCAACTGAGTTGAAATTAGTTCTGTTTGCTAGCATGCAAAGTTTGAATTACACTTTATTAGACAAGAAATATATACCATATTGATGTGCTGTTGTTAATTAATCCACGGCATCATTCTTTGTTTTACAATGCCAACTTTCTAATGTTCTTTTGTTTTTAAGCTAGCCTTATTTATTGGTCATTACAATAATAAAAATTATTTTTAGTTCAGCTTATTACACATTTACTAAAGATGTATACCTTAACAAACAAACTTTGTGTTTTTTGTTTCAATGCTGAGCTTATTTAAGCTGTAGTGCAACGAAGGAAGAAGATAACTACACCAAAGGCAGAAGAAAGGTTTTTTTTCAAGACAAAAGTTATTGCAGGTTTCTTCCTCATTTTCATAGTTTGCCTAATTTTTGAAGACACTTTATACAAAATTGTAGTTTTTATATTTCTAAAAGAAATTCCCAGCAATTTTCTAATTAAAAAAAACTAATTAATAAGCACTATAGATTTTACAAGAAATTTTGGTCTAACCCTTAGCAGGCCTCAGGCAATTGTCTAGGGATGTCAACTGCTCTGGATTTCATAAAATATTTTCAAAAATAATAGATTTCAGTTACAAACAATAAATTAGCAGATTTTCAGTTAATTTTGCTAATTTTTTAAAAGGCTCTACATGGTATAACTGCAACAAAGTGGTGTTTCATCTGAGTCTTTGAAATATTGACCCTCTCCTCTACTTTTGAGTGTGGTCTTTACTACATTGCATGCTTAATTTTCTTAAAGTGTCGTATGAAACAGTAATCTCTGCTACTTTTTATTACTGAAATTCTATACTTCTAAATTTCCCATAGAGTCAGCATGTGTACCCAGTCTTATCCTACAGTGCGATAAGATAAGGGGATTTGACTTGTTCTAGAAAAAATCATTGAAAAAAGTAAATTTTTTTAGGAATGATAATTGTACACAACTAAACAATAAATATTTTGATCGAATTTGACAGGTTGAACAGTTTAGCTTCAATAAGTCTTTGAATCTAACCTACCTGGTGCTAACTCCAATTTCCCCTACCTAGTGTTTTTATTCTACCTTATTTTCTGTATTTAGTACTATGCCTTAAAAAATATAAGAGTCTATCATTATTGACACCCGTAAAGTAATTATAAAAATAAAAGAATGCAAAAATCTAAGTTCACACTTAAATTTAGAAGAAGAAAAAAATTTAAGTGTTAAGACAGGGTTCCCACTCAATTTCAGAAAAAAAATTCCCTGACTTTTCCAAGTATATCAGGTAAATTTTAATGAAAATCAATACCATATTTTATCTATACTACGAAATTTTTCGTCAGAAAATTTTGATTCTTTTATTTGTAATGCCAAGTATTAGATTTTTCATGTAAAATAAATATCATTATATGAGGTAGGAAGCATTTCAGTTTGTCTAAAATGTGAAATTTTTACAATAAATAATTGTATTTAACTTGAATCTCAACAACTGAGTACTGTTACTGACAATTTTAAGACTGGTTTTTTTTTTCAGGTATAATAAAGGAATTTTCCAGGTTCTTTTTAAAAAATTGCAACTTTCCCTGATTTTTGGAGTTGAAATAAAATTCCCTGACGATTCCAGGTTTTCCCTGTTCTCCCTGACCCGAGGGAACCCTGTAAGATAATATGGTAAAACCTCAGTTTACCATTTTACCTTAACACTTGCTTATGATAAAGATGTGTGGTGAATTAAGCGAAAAAATGCACATACATAAAATCACATTACATATCTGAATTAATGAATGGTCCCAGTTAAATTTTTATTAATTATTGAACTGCTAATTTGACACTATCCTCATAGTCTTAAATAAGTAAAGATTGCAAAGCTGGGAAATTTATAATGTACACGAAAAAGGTCCCTCAACTTTTAAAATTCAATGTTTCATTAAAATTTGTAATTGGGTTCAAATAAATTTTAGAAAATCACAAATCCATTAAGATGGATAAGCAGCCTCAAATACTTTGTTCAGTTAACTTATGATCCCTCAGATCAATTGGATCAATTGTCTCAGATGAAACTTTGCAAATTTAGAATTTCAATAAAATTTCGTTTTAATGAAATCAAAAATGGAGAGGAACTTTGTGAATAGATAAAGCCCTGTTGTTGACTGAACTCTGATGAAAAACTTAGTTAGTGGATGATCTCCAAGTCCTAGCATTGCGGCACACAACAACAAATAAAACATTGCATTATATTTTCCATTTGACCCTCTAATCACAGAAATTCGGGAAACAATCAGTTTGATTCTTTAAGGCAGGAGATGAAACCAAAAATCACATGTCAATCATAAAATGTGGGAGGATTCTTGAAATGTGAAGATCTAAAATTTTGAGTTTTCAATATCATGCATTTCCACTTGCATTCTCTCATCTTCTGAAATGCTAGAATTGTTGGTACTTCGGCAAGTCTGTAAAATATATTCTTCCAGGTGATAGGTCCAAGAGGTCGTGGGTTCGATCCCCGCCGGCCGAAGACTCCCCGTGTTGCAAATGGTGACTGATACACATTAAATCTCTCTAGTCTCAAAGTCCTCCATGCTCCCATAACAAATCATACTGATCCAGGTGTCAGTGGCGTAGCGAGGGGAGGGCAAGGACGGGCATCATGCCCCGGGCGCTACTCACAAAGGGGCGCCAAATGGTCCGCAAAACAAAAAATTGCTGGATACTTTTTATTTTGTTATAATTGATTTTTGGAAAATATATTTTAAATTTAATGCCAGTCTAATATAATATATCTTAATTCGTAAATAAAAAGGAACACTAATAGTCTAAATCAAACTGTAATAAATATATTCATAATAGAAATGGTACGTCTTTTCTACTGGCAGGGCTGACTCGACCTGTGTCTGTCTGTACTTTCTTATGGCATCTACGCTGTGTGGTTGCATAAATTATCTCCTTTCTTGATTTGTCTGATAAATTACGTATATTTCACTGTGTTTCTACCTCTCAAATTCAAGGCATTCTTGGTAAGTAATAAAACAAATAAGATTACTTACTACATCTACTCGACGATTCTATTACTCAGTGAATAGGGTATGAAAAAATTTATTAACAGTGTTCAATAAAACAATTGAAGAAATTGACAATACTCAATTCTTATTACTATTTATAGTAATAAAAATTAAGAATTTTTAATTTACCGTAAATATTATGGACATTTGTTTGATTCAACTCCTGATATCTCTCATCGAGAACAAATGTCCCAAGTCATTAGGTTTGTAGATGTTGATTTTATCAATAAAAAAGTTTCCATTAAAGAATCTTTTTTGGGTTTTATTGAAATACATGCCAAAGATGCAGCCTCGATAGAAAATACAATTTTAGAGAAATTAAATTCCGATGAAATTTCATTAACAAACTGCAGATCACAACGTTACGATAATGCTGCCGTGATGGCAGGTCACACATCTGGCGTTCAACAAAGAATAATGGAAAAAAATCATAAAACATTTTTGTAAATTGTGATAACCATTCATTGAATTTAGTAGGAGTTACTGCAGCTAAACAAGATTTTTTTCTTCTTTCCTCCAAGCCCTTAGCATCTACCTAGGTTATGAAAAACCCTTAATCGTGTGCAGCTCAGATTTACAAGATCCTAGAACGAATTTTAGAGAAGCGTTCCATGATCTTGAATCATTAGCGACTGAACTAGCCGAAATTCGAGACAAGTTCTGTGAAGAGGCAATAGAAAAAGCCAAGTCTCTTTGTGAAAAATGGGATATCGATACAACAATACATGTAAGAAGACGCAGCAAAACGTCCGGAGAATTGGCTAGAGATGTTGGTCTTTCCGCTGAAAGTGAAATTTCTTCCATTATGAAACGCATTCTTGATCATCTCCAACAAGAAATATGTACACGATTTGCACGATTAAGTGACCTTAATTTCAAATTTGGATTTTTACTAGACGTTGAAAATTTATTAAACAAGGATAATGTTGATAATGACCCTGAAAATTTTTTAAAAATTTGGGTGACTTTTATAATACAGATATCAATGGAGTAGAACTCTTTATCGAAATATGTGATTGCAAAATATTACCCCTCAGTAAAAAAGAAATTGAGCCTAAAACTCCATTAGAATTTCTATACTATACTTCTTTTATAATCTCTTATGTAGAACTTGTTTTTCCAAACCTGAGAGTGGCACTTCAAATACTCCTGACTATCTCAGTATCAATTGCTAGCTGCAAACGTTCATTCAGCAAATTAAAATTAATTTTGACTATCAACGATGGGACAAGATCGCCTATGTGACCCAGCATTTTTAAGTGTGGAAAACGAAAAATTTGAAATGATCAACTTTGATGATCAGTGTTTTCATTACAGAAAAAAATTGGGTGAGAATTTCTCACCCTTTCTCAAAAACTGGGTGAGATTTCAAAAAGTTAGGTGAGATTTCTAAAAATGAAAAAAACACGAATAGACTTGGAAAAGAAATATTTCATTTTTAACATCTTCTAATTTTTAAAGCATTGAATATTTTTGCTGCATTATCACATGGAAAATGTTCTATATCTACTTTTTCATCAGCTATTCTCATTAGGTTGCTCAAATGCTTATCAGTCAATCTGTTAGTATATTTTGTCTTAATTCGGTTTTGGGTGCAACACATGCTGAACTATTTGGAACCACTAAGTAAATTTGTAGCATTGTGCACACACTTTCCTATTCTCTTCATCTGCCAGCATAGGTTTTTCAATTATTTCTGCTATAGAATAGTGAAGTTATTTTCATGTTCTTACTTCATGCTAGTATTTGATCCGTATCCATTGAATATCCGTATTTGTTTCGTTTTGACCGTTCCTACCCACATTTGTTTCATTTTCATTTGTCCGTTACGGACTAGAAAATGTTGCCTTAACAAGGTATTTGTCCATCTTACATTCAAGCTCAAANTTTAAATTTTTTATAAATAATAAATAAACAGTTAAATTGATAAATAATTTTAATTTCTGGTTCTTTAGAAGAATTAAAACATCACCATTCAGAAAAAGTTCGTTTTCTTTTCATAGAATAAAAAATAATTTAAGAAAATCAACCCGTTGCTAGATAAAGGTCTTACATAAACTTTTAATCTTAAAATTAAAGTGTATCAGTAACAAAGTCAAAGAGTTGGTTGAGAGAGATTCATCAGTTTTTATCAGTCTCACACCAAATAGTTTTAAAATAGGACTTTTAGTTGATTCTGTGTCCTATTTAGGTAATTGAACAGTCTTCTTGTTAACAAGTAAGCCAAACAGATAACCTTACATAGATTAAGACTACCCTTTAACTCTTTCTGACATAAATAATTTCATATAAAGGTTTTGATCAAACATTAGAAACTGTGACCATAGATATTGCAATTACTTAGGTTATATATTGTTAAATAAATAGATTAAAAAAATTGGTGGACATTAAGAAGCTTAAATTCTTTAGCCAGTTTTTTTTTTTTTCCTTACAATAAGAGGTCCTGCACTAGTTCATTAAAAGACCAAGATAAAAATCTTGTTCACTTATTTAGTTAACAGAATACAGTGGGGAGTTTGGCATCTCGTATTGCTTAGACTTGGATATTTTTCTGGATAATAGGTCATTCAGATAAACATGGAACCAAAACATGCATTATGCATTAGAGTTCATATTTAGAAAAAAAAGACAAATCCAGGTAACATAAAATTTCAAGTTAAAGGGAAAAAACATAAAGTTAAAAATTAAAACTGTAAACTATCTTTAATACAAAAGTAAAATGAAAAAAAAATGTATATTCAACATATTTGAGGCAATGATTTAAATTAAATGGTTTAAATAAACAATTTAAATAATCTGATTTTTAAAAAAAATTAAATTATCTATTTTGAACATTTACGTGAAATTCAATGATTAAAATAATTTGCTGTATATGTATATTTTAAGGAATGAGAGTAAAAAATATAATCTTTCTAAAATAAAATTTCAAGTTTTTAAACAAATTTATACGTGTAGAGGAGAGTGGAATAAGACTGAATTGAAATTAGTTCTGTTTGCTAGCAGACAAAGTCTGAATGACACTTTATTAGACAAGAAACATATACCATATTGATGTGCTGTTGCTAATTAATCCAGGGCATCTTTGTAGTAATGTTTATTTTACAATGCCAACTTTCTAATGTTCTTTTGTTTTTAAGCTAGCCTTATTTATTGGTCATTACAATTATAAAAATTATTTTTAGTTCAGCTTATTACACATTTTCAAAAGATTTGTACCTTAACAAACAAACTTAGTGCCAATGCTGAGCTCATTCAAGTTGTAGTGTGACAAAGGAAGAAGATAACTACACCAAAGGCTGAACAAAGATTTTTCTGGCCTCAGGACATAAGTTACTGCAGGCTTTTTCCTCTAAGTATAAAAATCCTAACTTTCATAGTTTGTCGAATTTTTGAAGATCTTTTATACAAAATTGTAGTTTTTACATTTCTAAAGAAATTCTCAACAATTTTCTAATTAATAAACACTATATATTTTACAAGAAATTTTGCTCTGACCCTTAACAGTCTCAGGCAACCGTCTAGGTGTGCAAACTGCTCCAGATTCTATAAAATAGTTTCAAAAATAATAGAAGTTAAAATTTATAAACTTTCAGTTAATCTTGCCAATTTTTTAAAAGGCTCTACATGGTATAACTGCAACAAAGTGGTGTTTCATGTAAGTCTGAAATATTGTCCCTCTCCCCTACTTTTGAGTGCAGTCTTCACTACATCGCATGTAATTGCATGCAATTTATGTGTCATAAAAAACAGTAATCCGTGCTACTTTTTATTACTAAAATTCGATACTTCTAAATTTCCCATAGAGTTACCATGTGTACCCAGTCTTACTATACTGTGGGGTAAGATAAAGTGAGTTGAATTGTTCTAGAAAGAAAATAATCGAAAAAAGTACATTTTTTTAAGAATGATATAATATACACAACTAAACAATTAATATGTTGATCAAATTTGACAGGCCAAACAGTTTAGCTCCAATAGGCTTTTGAATCTAACCTACCCGGAACTAACTCCAATTTTGCCTACCTCATGTTTTTATTCTACTTTATTTTCTGTATTGAGTACTATACCTTCAGTACTAAGGCTATCAGTATTGAATAAGTCTATCAGCATTGACAAGATTAAAATAATTATAAAAATAAAAGAGTGTAAAATACTAAGCGTACACTTTTAAGAAGAAGAAAAATGCAGAGGGTGAAAAATTGCAAGAGTAACTTGGGAAAAAAATTAAGATAATATGGAATTATAGCAGAGCTATTGGCTGAAAAAAAACTTGATTACTAAATCAGAAAGAGAAAACAAATATGCAAAACTAATGGACTAATTTTAGAGAATTAAAATTTTCAAATAAGTTAATTAGAAATAAATTAAAATTTAAAATATTTTCAGCAAACAGATAGTTTAAGGATGAGAAATCTTATTTAAACACACAATTCAATAAATGGAGAATGGCTCACGCTTACACTTAATACTAATAATTAATACTAATAATACTTAATACTAATAATTCCTTCAAACAATTATTAAATTCCTATTTTATATAGTTTGTATAAATAAAAAAAAATTCAATATAGTAATTAAACAAAAAAAGAGGAAATGTTTTCTAAAAAAGAACGAGTGAAAAAATAGATATAGACGCATACAAAGAAGAAAATGTTTTATTTATACTGACCTAAGGAAGCGGCAAATACAACTCCAAGTCCACAAGCTAATGGACCACCCATATGTAGAAACTTTTCACTGGGAGCACATGCTGCCACACTTGATAATCCTAAAATAATTAAATGTTTAAGAGAATTAAAAAAACATTCTGAAAAAGAAAAAAAAAAGTCAAAATTTTTTCCTTGCAGTCAATATGCATTTTTGTAAAGGCATGTAGATGGGTAATTTTTTCCCCTTTGGTTTCACTATTTTTATATAGTAGGGTTTTTTATAGTTTATTTTTAATCTTAATTGTAAATTCCCAGTTTATTTTTAATCTTAATTATAAGTTCCCAATTATTTTAGATTTTAAGTTTCTGAGAATCGATAATATCGCCTAAAGTACCTATATAATATGTGCTGCGAGGTTGAAAAAGTCGTACTGCCCTTAAATCCAGCCTANAAAAAAAAAAAAAAATCATCATGTAGATGGGCAGTTTTTTCAATTTTTTCTCTCTTTTGTTTCACTATTTTAATATAGTAGGGTGTTTTATAGTTTATTTTTAACCTTAATTATAAGTTCCCAATTATTTTAGATTTTAAGTTTTTGAGAATCGATAATATCACCTAACATACCGACATAAATGTGCTGTGACATTGAGCTGCCATGCTGCCCTTAAATCCAGCCTATATTTTTAAATCTGTCCAATTATCAATTGTGCACTCCTTGAATTTGGAAAATTGTTTTAAAAATATCAATAAATTAAAATTCAACCTGCACTTTCCTGTAACTACTATTACTTCTGTTGTATAGTCAATATTTTTCTATTAATACTTGGTTGCTTTCATTAATTTAATTTAATTTTTTAATTACTATTATATTTTGAACTTGCTCATCTTCTTCAAACCTGAACGCTACTAAGAGTTACTGAAATAGTTAATTATTTAAATAGAATGTCGAGAATAATATTTCTCTTAGTCTCCTGTCAAATTTGTGGCAGACCCACGTCAATTAAAATGGGACAATTGGTACAGGCATATTTTGCATTGGTAAGTTTTGTATTAGGTGATACATGATAAAATTATATTTAAATTATTTTCAATAGCTAGTATAAATTATAATAGCCTAAATATTAATTTTAAAAAGTTACACACAATGCAATTTTATTAATTTTAAAACTTTTAATCACTAAGCAAGATTTTGAGTAATCTAAATAGATTTACTTTCCGATAAAATGGTAAAGGAAAAATTAAATCATTACCAAATTAAATCATTATCAAATGAAACCATTGAATTAAAAATCTAGTAAAATAGTAACCAAAAATAACACATACTTTTCAAATATAAGAAATTCAAATGGAAGCTGTTTATGACTTAAGAAAAGCTACATAATGTCTATCACCATGAAGAATATTACACCTTTATATGAACTAATTTCAGAAAAAACTTAGCCTTTACAAGAATCATGTAAATATGAATTGCGATACATGATTTTTAAATCACGAGAATAAGAGTCCTAACAAGTAGTATTTAAATCAGATAAATTTGAAAATCTATGTTTGATACTAAAATTGACTGAATATGAATCGTAATATTAGTGAATTCCAACATAGTTTCAAATATCAAAAACAGTAAAAATAAAAAACAACAAAAGAAAATTAAATTGGCAGAAGAATCACGTGAATCTAAACTCCTTGATAATGGCTTCAAAACTTAAATTTTCGATTGCAGAACTCTTAATTCTTACTTTAAATTTTAGATTACGGTAAAATTTTTATTGGATTGTTAAGTTTTGATTTGCAGAATTTCGTGAATCAATGGTCTTGATATACGTGAATTTTGAAACAAAAAAAAGTCCCACACCTTGATACGAAAAACCTTGAATTTTGGGGTACACCCAGAATCCTCTGTTTATTATTGATAACAAATAATCACCTCTGCTGTTTATTATTGATATATAAAAGGAAGTTCTAAATAAAAATTAACTAAAAAAATTTTAACATAAAAAAGTTTTAAATTAATTCTTAGAAATGAAGCATACTTCATTATGTACTAGAAATACTTATTTAAATATTAATGTAAGCAATAAATTGTCCAAAAATTCTATTATAATAAGGATTTTTTTCTTCTTAGGGACCTTTCTCAATTTAAAGGAATTTTCTAATATGTATAAAAACCAGAAGAATTTTTAATAAACCAGTAGATCAGAAACTGGCAAAATCCAGTAGTGTTAGCAGTTATATTCTTACCTAATTTTTAGATTACTTTTTAAAATTTATTTAGATTAACTGTGTTAACAGTTGTTTTTATTGAAATAAAATGGCATGATCAATAATAGTAACAAGGTTGCTCCTAAATTTTAAAATTCGCTTTGGAAGTAATTATTTAAAGCTTTATAAAATTCATATATTAATTATCACACATGTAAAAATTGTCTAATAATGTAATTGTCTCTATAATATATATTTGATATATATATATTTGACAACTAGTATATTTAATTTGTGGGGTAAAAGAATTTTATCCACAACTTTATAGTCCCTATAATTCAAAATTTAAATATTTTTGCATACCAGCAACAACTCCTGCAGTGTACCAGGCAGCTCTTATTAAAATTGGTCCGCCGAGAAAGCAAAGTGGTGCAACAACAGCTCCCATGATACTGCTGTGTAATAGCCAAGCTAAATGTTTTCCATTAATACCCTCGGAATAAGGCATAGATCTTACAAGCATGCCACTTCCAATCATTACTGCAAAAGTTGCACCAATGGCCTATAAATAAATATATAAAAAATGCGTAGTAAATAGAAATCACAAATCTGTAAATAAATAAAAGACAAAGCAAATTTATGTGGAAATATGCTGTCCAGCACTATTATGGCACTTCAAAACTGCTTAACATTTAAGTAGATACAGAGTATCTGGTAAATCTAAAGTTTTTAAATCCATGACTTCTACCAAACACTTTTCCTGACTTACAAGAGTAAATATATTATTACTCTATAAAGTCAAATGAAGATCTAAATGAGCATAACTTTCTTTCGTTAAAAACAATATTTTAACTGTGCAATGCTTTGCACACTTTTTAAATGATCCAATTTTAAACAAAAGCAATGAAAAAGGTCTAAACTTTAAAACTCAGCAATTAGCGGGGTAACAAACATATAAATTGGAACATGAATTTAAAAAAGGTCAATTCCAAGGGATTATGAACATCATTTCATGCACTATCAAATTTATATATATATATATATATATATACATTAAAAAAAACATTTCAAAGATTAAACAAAAATTTTAATTTCAAAATTTATTTATCATACTCAAACATTTAATTTTAGTTANCAAAAATATTAATCTCAAAATTTTATTTATCAGACTCAATTCAATGTAACAAATATAATTTTAATATCATTAAATATGAAACCAGGTGGCCCCCGGCTTAGAGCCCTAAATGTGAATACAAATTGCGATGCAGGACTTTCAAATCAAGCAACATTTTGAAGGGCTCCTATAGCCAAAAATACATGATAAACAGGGAGGTTTTTTTGATTTTTCAAAAGTTATCACTGAAAATCATGACTTTCCATGATAAATTTTGATCTAAGTCAAAATCCATGACTTTCTAAGATTTTCAATGACTTTCCAGGTGTGCAGATACCCTACAGATCGAAACATGTAATTTTAGTACATTTTAATGACAATATCTAATAAAATATATCAAATTTAATTTAGAAAAATCACCACAAAAAGAAATCAACATAAATAAAAAATATAAAAATTTTAATCAGGCTTGTGTAATAAAAAAAAGCGCTGCAAAAATTGCATATTTAAAATATGGTTTAGAAACTGAGCTGAAAATATTTAATACAAAATGTCCTGTTGAAAGAGCTTTTAGTTGAAATCTAATTTTAAAAATATCCATTCCTCATATCCAATTTTAAATATAAATTTTCTTTTGAACCAAAAAAATATAAAAATATCAAATTTATTTTATTTTTAAAATTTGTTATACTTTTAAAAATGTACCTTCCTTGTACTTCAAGTAGGTCAATTATAGCCTTGTGCACTTTTTAAGCAGATATAAATTTAAAAAGAAAATCTTAATAAAAAAACATCTTTAGTTCAAAAAAATTGGGGCAATAATACTATAGAAATATGGCAGAAAGTTTTTACTTACAATCCAAGAGCTTCTCATCATAAGGTTTAGTAATTTAGGAGACTGGCTAATAGCATAAGCTGATATAGCAGTAACTACAATGCTGCCTCCAAAGTAGGAATATGTAGCCCTTATTCTATCTTTGACGTATTGAGGCCATACCCTTAAATAAAATACTTCAAAATTAATTATGCGAGGAAAATAAATTGAGAACAAAAAAATATTTAATAAAATAAGATTATAGATGTAAAATTATATCTAAAGCAACTTACATGGATTTTTCGACAGCTCCTGGCTCACTAGATAAACCCAATCCATAATAACAAAGTGAACCGATTCCAAATGCTGAAGCTCCAAGTAATAAACCTTTTCCTAAATTAAAAGCTGAAAAAATGTTGCTAATTTTAGAAAAATAAAAGAACTATGAGTAGCATACACTTCAAAAATAATAATTTTGGCTCTTGCATAAGCAAAAATTTTATCAGATATACCATAAGAAATTGCTGTAAAACATTGACAATACTTGCTAACCTTTTCAGATAGCTTTCCTAAATACTTTAATATTTATTGATTAAAAATGCAATGGCAGGCTTGGCATGTTTTTGTTGGATAAAGCCATCATGTAATACAAAAACTGTAAAAAAGAAAGAGAATTCACATTTTTAAATAGCACATTGAATGTGTTTAAGGTTGAATATTAAATGTTTTTTTCTTTCTTATACAATTTAAGAAATGTTAAAAGAAAAAAATTTCTTGAGAGTAAAAACTATTACAGGACCAAGTCTAATATCCAGACGTCTGTTTACCGGAAGGGTCTATTTTCCAGACACTTTTTTACAATCAAAATAAACAAACTTCTCTTCCTTTTTCAAAATTTTTTTTCTTCTTTCTTTTTTAAAAAAAAAAAGCGTTTGCAATCTGTTAAAAAAAAGTTTGAAGGGATGAAAATCAAATTTTCGTTTGATTTTAATCAGATTTCTGCTAAAATTTGGAAATAATGGAAATGAAATCCGGAGTTTTGCGACTTTAAAGGCCCTTTCATTGCAGTGTGGAAAAAAAAAATCACATACTTTTTTCTTCTTTTTTTGTATAAAAAGATAACCACTGCCAAGAATCATGCACTTGATTATAGAATGCGCAAAACTCGTGTGGTTTGATAATATCGTGGATTTGAGACGATATTGTTACGACGAGAATGCGTCATAAAGTGATTATTTCAAAGAGCAATTAGAAATATGCAGATCGGAATAATATATCTAAAAAGAAATTTAAATACAATAATGAAAACTATGTGGAAGTCCTAAACTGTTGAAAATGCAATCGAAAAAATCACACAGACAAAATCGTCACAAATCCAGTGCATCAAAAAGTGATTTCTTCAAATGCAAGATTCAAATATTTCAGTACTAAGTAATGTAGCAATGAAAAATCAAGATTTTAAAAAACTGTGGCAATGATGATAATGTGATTGAGAAAACCACATGATTTTATGGGAGAATTGTCAATAATGCAGTGCATAAAAAGTGATTCTACAAATGCATGATTCAAAATTTCCTGAGTGTGATAATGTAGCATTAAAAAATTCATTTATAAACTACGAAAATCGATGCAATAACTAAAGAAAAAAAATCATAAATCCTCATGTGATTACGGTGAATTGCATATAATTGAGTGCGTGAAAAAAGTGATTCTTCAACTATGTGATTCAAAGTTCGCCGAACAAAACAATATAACATTGAGATTTTAAAATCCATGTGAAAATCCAAAAAAATTGCAGAGAAAACCATGCGAATTTACAGCTGAATCATCGCTAATCAACTGGATCATGAAATAATTATATGAAATGTTTGATTCAGAATTTGCAGCATGTTTTAATGACTTATTAAAATAGTAAGATTTTAAAAACCAGGAAGAAATCTGCAGCAATAGCGATTGGCACACCACGTGGATATATACAATGTTGAATGATTATAGTCTATTTTTAATTCTTTTGACGTTGATTATAGTCTATTTGTAATTCTTTATTGAATAAGTATATTCTGATGTTTGTTTACCTTGTTATCTGGAAATATCTATTTTCCAGATTTGACAAAATCCTGTCGATTATGGATATGGGAGTTTCAGCTGTAGATAAATATGCTTGAAATATAAACTATTGCAAATCAAACATCAGATGGAAACAATAATGAAAGTTAGTGTGTAGAGTTGCTTTGATTAGGCAAGACATTTTGGTATTAGAAAAAGAACTTTAAACAGTCAAATACTTTTCTATATTATCAATCTCTTAAAAGATAAGACAAAGTAATATGAAACTTTCATTTTTACTAGATGAAATATATTTAGTCTTCTATTATTTTACATCGTAACATACTCATTTTGCGTAAATATAATTTATTAATAATTTTTTAAGAACTAAATTGATTGCCACAAATACAAAATTGGATGATGAAAAAAAGAAAACAAGTCATTATAAGCAAATACACATATTTAATGCTAAATGTTATTGTTTTTCCTTAGTACTGTATTCTTTTCTATACTACATTTCAACTAGCATTAAATCTATAAGTTAACTAACAACAAAAAGTTTTTGCAATATGCGAGGAAACAAGGAAATGAAGTTCAATGGCTTCACTGATAACACTAAATGTTAATCCCAATAGTTAGCTATAAGGTGGAAAATAGATGGCATGATAGATAGTGATCAACAAAAATAAAGATGCATTATTTTAAAGTATGCAGCAGAATATCCAAGTTTTTTTTTTGTGGGGGGGGGAGAGAGAGAGGATTAAGACAACATAATTGGTGGACACCTACATGTTTGCAACATAAACAATTCAGTTTAGGATTGTAAGTGAAAACAAAGCGAAATGATGTTTGTTTTTAACTTTTCAATAATGATACAAGAAATGAAAAAAAGTCTTATTTATCTCTATTTCGCATATGCATTGCTCACTGAAACATAACAAGTACACATTGCTCACATAGAATTTATTGTTCACCTAAACATACAAAAAAAGAAATAGTTGTAAAAGTGGAAGGCTAGTATTATTTAACTTGATACAAACTCATCTTTTTTATACATTTATAATAGCATTTTGTACATTATCTCATAATATGCCATACTTGTTATATTGAGTAGTATAAAAGAGTAATAATAGTGCTCCATAATAGGAAGAAAAAAAGATTAAAATGGACAAAATATGCTTTATTAGGAATATCAAGAATATTTCGATCCTTGCAAAAATTTTAAGAACTAACTATGCTCTGAATTCTTGTTTCAATACTGCTTTAATGTACGCTTTTAAGATAATCACGGAAATTGCAAAAAACAGTAAGATATTTTTCTGAGTATGGGAAAAATGTTTCTTTTTACAAAACAAGGGGGGGGGGATTTTTATAGATGGAAAAGAAAACCTTAGGAAGAACAGGTTTCCCCCCAGACAGTAAAAAAACCATGCCAACTCTGAATTAAATACCATTTTCAGCAAATTGATACAATGTCTGTACTCTTATTAATTTGAAGGTTCAACGAAAAGAAATAGAAGTAGATATTTCAAATGCTTTATGTTTAGTTGATGAATCCTTTTAGCTGTTTCAGTATGTCATGTTTGTTACCATAATAAGTTTCATACAAATATTTATTAATTCTTACTTAGCTTATTAAGTGCTTAGTCTAAATAAAATTGAATTTTAATACTTTTTAGAATTAAGTTTTATGAATTTTTGTATTTTGAAATGTCAAGTTATTTTATAACAGACATGAAAAATTCGCAGCAGATATAACATGAATTATAAGATTTTCTTTCACAAGTTTTGATTTAGATGCTATTAATAAAATTATAATTATGTCTGAAGTATTGCTGTCTAGCATATATAAAAATAGGAATTATTGTAACAAACATCACAATTTGCATCATATCAGACCAAAAAATTATCAACTAAATATAACTTTAAAAGAAAAGAGCAAAAAAACATTTAAAAAAGTAAACACGCTTATTTATTTTTGAAAATTACACATTCTCAATATTTTTTTTTAGAATTTTAAATAACATCAAATTATGAAAATGATCCATATTTTAAATTTGTTATCTGCTTTAAACTTGAACAACTTTTGAACTTGAAAAATAAGGCATTATATAATATTTATTACTATGATGCTGAAGCTTTTCAGAATATTCCGTCTAATTTTATAATAAATCTGTAGTAACAACAATCAAGGTAGATATAAACAAAACTGTTAGAAGCCGCTTGCTAGAATATTTTATATAGAGTGACGTCACAGACAATGATTGTAAGCAACCGGCAGCTTTTGATGGGGATTTAAAAGGCGTTTTGAAAATAATTAAATTGTTTAAATGCAACTTAATTGACATTTTCCAGTGTAGTTTTTAAGCTGTTTCATATTGTCCAGTAATAGAATCTAAGAACATCATACCTATCATGTTGCATGAAAAAAATAAAATCTTGTTGCCTAACTGTTACCCCAAAAAAATTCAACAAATTTAAACTCAATTTTTTCAAAATAGTAAGTTTAATGATATATTATATGGAAGTTAAACACTTAAATTTATTTACTAAATATTCTGAAATGCACAGTTGAAAAAACATTAAAAGTGTCGAATGACTTTCATAGTTGTGTGTATCTGTATGCNACGGTGGAATTCCTGGTTTAAATCAGTGCAATATCATGCTGAATATTGTAATGTTTACATAGAATTTTTCAGCAGTGAAATAAACCTTACTCCTGACACTGCTTGTCTCAATCAGTGCAAAGTTTTGTTGGAAAGCAAGTACGTTTGCAAAGACTTTCAGTTCATTGCAGAACACGCTCAGATATTAATGGATACTCTTCTCTTTTTCGAAACATGTGGTGTATCTATTCACAAAGCTTACAATAAGATTTTTGATCCGCGGTCTAAACTTCGATGTAATTCTCAGGCATCATACTCACGAAAAGATTCACGCAACATATTTCTTCAAGAAATGTTTCACAAAACAATTGCAAAGTTTAATACTTACTACTCTCCAGAACTAGACGTATTTAAAAAATGCGGGCCCAAGTTTAGTCAACCTGCATTAAACTTCATGAAAGCTTCTCGAGTTTTCGATCCAGAACAAATAGTCAACCTCAATATTGAAGACGACGATGTATTCAAGAATATTCCAGAAATGAGTGGTCAAGATATAAAACTCGAGTATGCTGCTTACAAAGAATATGTAAAAGAATGTGCAAACCAGGACTTAAATTAGATTCTGGAATTCAGAGGTAGTCTCAGGGAGATTTCCAGAACTTACAAAAAAAGCAAGACAAGTGCTCTCAGTGCTTCCTAATTCAGTAGATTGTGAAAGAGCTGTATTTTGCTACGGCCAAATTTTTACAAAACAAAGACAGAGTTTGAAAGAAAACGCAGCTTCTGGACTAACTTCTGCATGCATAATTTTTAAAAGACACCGCATCCTTGCCGCATAATTTTTAAAAAATTTCTGCATAATTTATAGGGCCCTACTCATAACTATGATGCTGAAGCTTTTCAGAATTTTCAGTCTCTAATTTTATAATAAATCTGTAGTAACAACAATCAAGGTAGATATAAACAAAACTGTAGATATAAACAAAACTAGAAGCCGCTTGCTAGAATATTTTATATAGAGTGTCGTAACAGGCAATGATTGTTAGCAACCGGCAGTTTTTGATGGGGATTTAAAAGGCGTTTTGAAAATAATTAAATTGCTTAAATGCAACTTAATTGACATTTTCCAGTGTAGTTTTTAAGCTCTTTCATATTGTCCAGTGATAGAATCTAAGAACATCATACCTATTATGTTGCATGAAAAAAATAAAATCTTGTTGCCTAACTGTTACCCCCAAAAAATTCAACAAAATTAAACTGATTTTTTTTAAAATAGTAAGTTTAATGATATATTATATGGAAGTTAAACACTTAAATTTATTTACTAAATATTCTGAAATGCACAATTGAAAAAACATTAAAAGTGTCGAATGACTTTCATAGTTGTGTATATCTGCATGCATAATATGAATTTTGTTAAACAAAATAAATAATAATAATTTTAAGCAGATTTATTACCAGTTCCTTGCTCAGGAGCAAACAACCTTTCTTTGAGTGTGGGACTTCTAGTCGATATGGTAGTTCTCCGAAAACCAGAGCGACTTGCGTAACCTTTTACTTGATTGACATTTTGTGATCTCACAACTAGTAAATTTGAATTTAGTGACATACTTTTGCCAATATTCGGCACACACAATCTTGCAGCAACAAACATGGCTGCCATCTTTGTAGAAACAGATCTGTAAAAATATTTGAAAAACTTTAAAAAATGTATGTTACTATAATAAAAATAAGCAAATCCATTTTAAAAAATTAATAAATCATATGTTTTAATCTCCAATAGCACAAGCCTGCGATGAAAAAAATAGAAGAGGCCTGATAGCTGAACTTTATGTATTGTTTGATGCTGAAATGGAAAACGATAATGAAAATTTTCCATCACGTCAAATTTTTTTGAAAAATTCAATTTTACTGGAATTTTTAAGAACATTTACCATGTTTTTTTTCTTCTCATATTTGAATTACTTCCCTTCTTGAGTGGGCAGCATTCTACTTGGGTAAAATTTACAAAAGTACCCCTCTATGACATCTTCCTGTCACCGTCCCTCTCTCTGTCACAATATCTTTCGACCAATAGTGTAACGAAAATGGTTCAACGACCTCACAGGAACACCAGCAAGGGCATTCGGGAGAAATTTTTAAAAAAAGTATTTTTAACGTCCGCTTTTCTCTGTACGTTTCGTGAAGCATGGCTTCGAGTTTTAGATGTTGTGAAAATTTCCCATTTGACTTTTGTTACATATGCGGCGAACATAGTGTTATTAAAAATCGCACGAGGAGTATTACAGACTATGTAAGACAACATTATCTTGCGTATTGTTGCATGAAACTCAGAGATCAGGCCAAATCGTGGGCTCCTCTTAATGTCTGTGTATAGTGTCTAAACGATATACGCTTATGGCTTCGAGGAAAGAAGACTGCCTTACGATTTGGAATTCCTATGACCTGGAGGGAGCCTAAGAACCACTTTGATGATTGTTATTTTCATTCCTGCCGTGTTTGTGGTCATAACCGGAAAATTCAAAGGCTTATCTTATCTTGATAACTTTCCATCAGCCATACGCCACATTTCTCATGGACCTGATGTTTTTGCGCCTCCAACTGAATTGCCAGTCATCTGTTCAGACTCGGAATATCCAGAAGTTCAAGGCTCCGATATCGAATATATGCCATCTGTAACCGGTTTCCTTTTACCTTCTCTCTGGTTAAACTTAATGATCTGACTAGAGATCTCGGCCTTTCGAAAGAGGCAGTTGAATAATTATTAGACTTCAGACTGAAAGAAAAAACTTATTGGAAAAAGGAACATCTTTTTATTGGTACCGGAATTCAGAAAAAGAATTTATTAAGTATTTTGACAAAGAGGAAAACTTGGTCAATTGTTCTGTATTGATGAGCAAATTTAATGTTATCTACGATGAAGATGAGTGGAGGCTGGTTATAGATTCATCTAAAAGAAGTCTCAAAGTTGTCCTTTTTCATCATGTGAGCCAATATACACCTATACCAGTTAGACACTCGGTTATTTAAAATAATACTATGATAACCTGGCTCTTGTCCAGGACAAAATAAAATATATTGATCACAGTTGAACCATTTGCGATGATTTGAAAGTTATCTCCATGTTTCTTGTTGAACAAGGTGGATTTCTCATGTTTAGGTGGAGGTTCACAAGGTGGAAGTTCTCATGTTTAGGTGGAGGTTCACAAGGTGGAAGTTCTCATGTTTAATTTGAGATTGTCAGTGAAACAGCCATGACAAGACTCACCATTGATTCAAAAAAGAAAAACTGAAAAGATAAAATCTTGACCCAAGCATCAAGAACATTATTTGACGCAGCTTAGTTGATCGAAAAGAGTATTGTTACCCCCTCTAAACATAAAATTAGGTGTAATGAAGCAGTTTGTCAAGGCTGTTCCAAAAGAGGACGATTGTTTCAAATACCTGTGCAATAAGTTTCCAGGTTTATCCCATGCAGAAAGAGGGAATCTTTGTTGGTCCAGATATCCGCAAACTCATAAAGGATAAAGTTTCTGAGACTAACATGGTCACAACGGAAAAAGAAGCTTGGGTTGCCTTCATAGATGTTCTCAGTAAATTTCTGGGTAACTACAAGGATCCTGACTGTAACTCATTTGTAATGAAAGTGCTGAACAAATTAAAAACTTTGGATCGTTCCACGAGTGTCAAAATGCATTTCCTTCACTCGCATGTGGGCTTTTTTCTCGAAAATGTAGGAGCAGTCAACGAAGAACAAAGTGAAAGGTTCCATCAGGAAATGAAAGATAGGGAGCTTAAATATCAAGAAAGATGGGACAAGAACATGCTCGACGACTACTGTTAGTTGTTAACTCGAGATCGGCATAAGGTTAAGCATAAAAGAAGATCATCAAAAATAAGTTATAGAGAAAAATGTGCATGTACTTACATAAAAAGTTTTTGTTTTGTTTTGCTATTTGTTTCAAACTTTCATGTACACATACACAATATTTGCTATTCTTGGTCAATCGTCAATTTTACGTAAGTTTACCTTAATGAAAATAAATTAAAATTATATGTTGGTGATTTTCTTCTAGAAACTTATGCAAAAAGTTTAAATTCAAGGAATGTATTGTTTTTTCTCTTGACCAGAGGTTACTTGTACGATCTGGCATATTTTTCTTTCATTTTAACTTACAAAAAATTTGCCTTTCGCTCAAAAATTAATTTACCTTCACAAGATTCAATTTAAATAGATTGAAATGAATAAAGAAGAAAGTTTACCAGACAGTACATGCACAATTGTTTAAGTGAATTCCTTTCCAAATGTGATTTTAGTAAAAACATTAATATCGATTTTACAAAAAATCCTGATGTGATGGTGGAAAATGAAGGTCATTTTCGGAATCAGCACATCAAATAACATATAAATCAACAATAACTTCTCTTGTATTTCCCCAAAACTTCAATTTCGCAGGTTTGTGTAGTTAATTGATCAAAATAATAATAAAAATTTTAAAACATACAATGATTTTTTAAAACTTTTGAAAAAATAATGAAACCAGAACACACTAAATTTTAAGTAAATTGCACTACCATATATATTAGTGTACAAGTCCACTTTTCAAATTGCCAAAATTTTACAAAAATGTGGGGGTCGACTAATGAGTATGGTAATAAAGATGGAGATATGATGATTATGAAATATTGAAGCATTTTTACCAATGAAATATGAGCAACTCTGTATCAATTTAGCTATTTCAAAAATTCTTTTTAATATGTTATATACAATTTTGCATTTTCTCTCAAATATTCTTTATATAGAAAGTTTTTTCAGAAACAATACTTTATATTATGTTCAGAAAAATATCAAGAATAAGAAAGTTAAGATTATTAGCTCAAGAGTAATACAAAAAATATAACAGATCACCACAGATATTTAAAAAAAATATATATACAGATAATAAAACAGATCACCACAGACATTTAAAAAAAAAAAAAAAAAAAAAAAACCAAAANAAAAAAAAAGAAAAAAAAAGGGTGATAAGGGAATAATAGAACATCAATTCAACAAAATAGAATTTTCAATTTTTGGTAAAAAGCAAACAAAAAAATATATAATTAAATAAGTAACCCATACCAAAGTTTAAGGTTTAAAATCAAATGCTGAGCCATATCTCTGTGCAATTACCGTAATTTTCACAAACAATTCAATATAAGATATTTTTTTTAATAAAAATTTGACAATTTAAACCATTTTTTTCAAAATTTTTGTTTTAATTCTAATTTAGTCTGAAATATTTATAAAAAATTTCAGACACGAAACAAATATAATCCTTAAAATTGTTATAATAATAGAAATCAAGACATACTGTTTAACCAATATCTTAAATTATTATAGGGTGAGTACGGATATGATTAAACATAACTTTAAATAAACTTGATTTTAAAAAAAATTTTCACTACATTTATGAATGCAACAGGCATCACTAACATACTAAAGATGTCATGCATAAAAATTTAGCAAAATACCAAATATTTGGCAGAACACTTTTGAAAAAATAATTAATTTATATGAACAAATAAATTTAGTCACCATAGAAATATAATTATAACTTAGCTATATTATTGACATGATAAAAGATGTAATATTCTTGTTATATTATTTCTAACACAGTACAATATCCCGGGACTTTAACAGGTTTGAAGAAATAGATCGGAAATCAAAGATCAAAACTTTCTTCATACAATAAAAACATAATGTCAGAGCTCATTCTAGGCAGGGTAAACAGGGCGCAGCACCCTGCTGCCCTTTTAGTTAAAAGAATTCACCCTGTTGCCCCTGAAGTAAATTAGTGCCCTAATATAATAGACTTCATACCCTTTTTGCCCTTTCTTTCCACAACCCTTCTTTACTTTTTCCCCAAACTCTATAATGGATTTCTTAAACTGTCATTTTTAACTCTTTTTATTTAGTTTGTCATTGCTGTCAATGCATAGATTTATATGGGAAAGGAAAAAAAGCCATCACAACCTATTGTTGCACTTGTCTTTGAAAGTTTGCAGTTACTTCCACTATCATTAAATCATAATTATTATTAATTATTTAATCATAACTACAGACACTTAAAAACATACATTTATTATTTTATTAATATATGCATGCATTTTAAATAAATTATTAAGCTAATTATCTCATTAACTCGATATATATGTTAATTTATTAATGAAAACAAGTAATTAATGATTGCTTTACTACTTTTAGTTAAGTAAAAAAGAAATTCTTTTACTAATTGACAATGTTTTTTATTAGAACGTGTAAAGAATACGTGTTTTTAATAGAACGTGAAATTATTGCCTTTTTAGAATAATAATGCCCTTTTTTAAAACTTTTGCACCCTACCCTTTTTTCTGCCTAGAATGAGCTCTGGAACCTTTAAAACAATATTATGTAAGTTCTCTAAAATTTTTTTACATAATTTGCAATTAGTAACAAATATGTTGACACTGTCATTTAACTAAAATTACGAATTTTGAAATTAATATGATTTTTTAAGAGGCAAGCGTTAGTTTACCCTATATATTCGTTCTTGGATTTCCTCTTTTTTTTGCTACTCTCATACTCTACAAAAGCATGTTTACCCCTAAAATATTGTTGTTAGCAAGGTGTATATGATAGAGATCTCTCTTTCAGGGGGAGCT